GGAGACCCACCTGCTGGTCCCACCTCGGCTGCTTTCATCAGAACTTCTGGAACACAGGGAAGGTTCTCAGGGCACCTTTCAAACTCACGAATCCACCGGGACGGAAGTGCTCAGGGGATGAAGCCCATTTCAGCCGGCACTGAATTGCTATCCCAAGTCTGTGCACACTCCCAAGATCTGCAGGGAGAGAACAGCAGGCCTGGGGAAACTCTGCTCAGGTACTTGGCTCAGGAGCCAGTGGGTACCAACTTCATCTGCCCTTGTGCACGGCATGCCATGAAAAGGCTCGGAAGAACAGGCAGCAGGTGGACCAGCACCTGTGTGTCTGTAACAGAAATTACTAGCAGCTGTTCCCACTTAAGCAGGGTGTGTCTTTGTGTGTGATATTGTGCAACACTGCCCAGGAACATGATAGCTCACAACCTTGTGATGCAATGCCCTTGGGGCTTGCTTGGGTTTGAATGGGCAACGGGGAGCCATTCCCTTGACCAGATGACATCCTGTCATCCTGTCCTGCCTCCAGCGCAGCCCCAAACCGGGAGGACTGGCTTTGCAAAACAGCTCAGCTCCGGGCAACTGGCTTTCCCTCAGGGTGGGGCCTCGGGGACACCCTGATGGACATCCACCCTTCCAAATTGGACCTTTGCATTAGAAAGGAGTGATGGACGAAAAAAGTGGAGGGGAGAAGAGGGGGCAAAGCCCTCCCGGAGGGGAGGAAATGTGGGGGAAGAAGAACGCCAATCAAATTCTGCTGGGGAAGGCAAAATTAGCAGCTATATGCGCAGGGGAGCAGATGCCCAACTCCCTTGCGCCTCCCCTCCCATTCCCACTCCAGCTGTTGGGCCTGAGAAAGTTGCTGGGCTGAAAATAGCTTTTGGCTGCAACATTTGCAGAGCAGCCATGCGATGGAAGCCACGTTCCCTTGGCCCCACTCCTGTTATCAGAACATTGTGTCAAGAGGTCCTAAATATTGCATCATGTTTTTACGCGTGATAAGTCAAATTTTCACAAGCTCCAGCAGCTGCAGCAAACGATAGCGTGGCGCGTAGGCCAGTGCACACGTTGCCCCTGGACAGGAGAGTCAGGTGTTAGAGCCTTCCCACTGCAGGCTTCGGGGGTGGCGGGGTGGATTTCTGAATGGCCCCCACCGGGGAAGGGAATATCGCCTTCCTGCACTGAGGGGAAAAAGCTCAGCCAAGAACAAGCTCGGCCAGACCTGCCTCAGCGGCACGCAGCTTGCACGTGCATTGACGGCACAGCGCGTCACAATGAAAGGAAGCCTTGTCAAATGCTAAGAACACAAGCCTTGCCGGATCTGGACCCAGCCCAGCATTCCCTCCCCAACAGTGGCCTGCAAGGTGCCTCGGATGGCCACCTAGCAGGGTGGGAGAGAACCACCCCTTCTTGCCCCAAGCTCTGCCAAGCAGAGGGTCTGTTTGGCTGCCCGTGGCTAAGAGGAGCCTGTGGCCACGGCCCACGGGGCACAGGGCTGAGGCAAAGCAGGGAATCCAGGCGCGCATGCCCTTGCACAAGGAATCCCCCCCGGGACTGCTGATGCGGCTGGCGGGGAGAAGGCGCAGCCCACGAGAGTGGGGCACAGTGGGCAGAGATCTGAAGCCATGGGGGGTGAAGTGCGGGCCTGCAAGGGGAGGAGGGCTTGGGTCTGGGAAGTGAGCAGGGCTCAGGCGCTTTGGCCAGGTGGGGGGCGAGTCCCTAGGGACTGAGGGGCTTTGCTTCGCTCCAGATCTTTTGGCCAGCAGAGACATTTTAATGATTGGTTTGATTGCATATCTATAGTCCACATGTGCTGCTTATTGTATCGCCGTCCTGAGACCCTTGGTATCGGAAGGGGCGGAAAGGTTTTAAATAAACAAATTCATAAAATAATGGGAGTCACAGGGCAAAGCACTGGAAGAACCCGGGTGGGGAAGGCTGCTCCAGAGCCTGGCTTAATTAATTGCATCTATTCCCTTTCTGCCACAGCATGGCACTCCAGGTGGCAAACAGTGCAAGTGAATTAGATCTTAAGGAAAGCAGCAGAAACTGAAATTTTAAAAAATCGTCCATCGAAGAAATAAGTAGCACCACCCAATTAAAAGAGCATCAGTTGCAGGGCTTCTGTCTGCTGATGGCCCCCCATCTGTGAATGTTCTCCCGAGAAGCCCAAAAGAGTCCGTGCAGGCCGGAGTCCACGGGGGTGGGCTGAGCGTGACAAGCCGCTTTGAACATCGCTTCCGGCACGCTTCCCCTTAACACTTCGGCTCAATATCCATCCAAGTCCCAGATAATAATTCCTAATTCTAAAACTCCAGTACAGATTCATGAAGCTGTTTGGCGAAGCACAAAAGGAATGAAACCCGTTCGATCGAAATGTCTGCAGGGCATGTGCTTGAGGTAGACATTGGGTCTGTACCAGCTGTTGGTGTTCTTCAGATGAAGGGAAATCCAAGGTGCACAGCAACAGCAGGCATGTTTTCCTCTGCCAGATGCTGCAGCGCATGTCTCAAGAGGGTCACTGCCCTTAAGAAAGGGCCTTTCTAAAAATACAGCTATTAGCAATTCAATTTCCTACTGACTTGACCTTCAGACTGCAAAGCAAAGTTTTTCCATAGGTCTCTCATCAGCTCGGTGGCCCTTAAGGGGCATCAAAACAATCCAGTGCAGTTGATGCAGGGCTGCCTGCAAAAGAAGTGCTGGAATGTCTCCTTCATGCTGAATGGTCTCGGCGCTTTTGCCGCCCAGCCCTGCTCTCTCACTCCTGAAAAATGTCCGGCTGCTCTACAAAGGAAGTGTTTTGGATTTCAAGCAAAGGAACTGGGTGCCATTTTCCTCATGGAAGTTGTGGCTGTTCTCCAAGAAGTTGATGCCCACGCAGTTTATTCTGCCACCCAAAGACCTGGATGCACTGATTGCAGGATGCAAAATCAAGGCTCTGTGTGGACGGCTTTTGAAATGGATCATACAGATTGGCAGGAGATCCCTGTGCAAGGGCCGTCTCTTCCCTCTTCTCCTCCATATCCAGGAAGCTGGCTTGGGTGGAATCGGACCGTAGGGCCTCTGGGCCTCAGGCTGACAGGGGGAGCTGCTGCCTGCTCTGCTCTGCCTCCCAGCCCAGTTGAGGCCGTACTGCTGAATGCCACGAAGCTCCCCCTTCGAGGGCGGCTGAGCCCATTGGTCAGCCTCCTGCCACGGCCGTCCTCCCTGCCAGGGCGCTGCCCACCCCGTCCCCTTCCCGTTGCAACACCTCCTCCCCTTCCCTGAGGCACCCCTGGCAGCTTACCTCAGCAACGGGCCACCGTAGGGTGCTGGGCTACCGGGGGAGGCTTTGGGCCAGAGCTCGCCAGCCGCGGCCCCGAGGGAGGAGGGGAGGTGGAGGGACCGCGCCAGGAGCACACCGCCGGGGAGCGGGGGTCCGCGAGGGGCCCCGGCTTGCTGCCAGGACACAGGTGCAGCCTTGGGCAAGGGGGCCGACGCAAGCCTGAGCTGCACCTCACGGAGCAGCGCAGGTCCCGGCAGGAGAAAGATCGTCCTAGCCCAAGGGTGCGTGGAACAGCCCCCGGGATCAGCGGCTGGTGGCTGAGCCTCCACGGGATGGTGCAGGGGCGAGAGGAACACGCTCCACCTGCAGCCCGGCCCACGGCATCCCCATTTGACTGGGGGGAGCCCCCACGACCCAGCAGTGGCCCGAGGCACATACGCGCAGCATTTGGCGCAGCACCGGAGTTCTCACTCGTGCCATTTTAGAAACTGCAGCTCACAGGCTGGTTGCAAAGGTTTACTGTGCCAGTTGGAAAACCGGACGAACCACAACCTCGCTTCAGCCCCACACACGACGCCTGAGTCAAAGCTGACGAAGTCTGTTCGGCGTCGCCTCCCGTGGAGTCTGTGCATCTGTGGCCAGCGTGCCCCGGTCACTGGGCAAACACGCTGCCTCCGGACTCGGCTGCTTCTAGAGGGCTTTCTAGGGAGAGCAGGTGCTGCGTCCTGAGGAACAGGGGCTCAGCCTGGGCCCTCGGGCCCTTCCGGGGAAGCACCAAACAGAAAAATCGCTCCCTGTAAAGATAAGCCAAGGTGTGTTCGCTCAGGCTTCCTACTGGGAGAAGCTGGTCTGAACTGGGAGGAGGAACAGTCCCTGCGAAGAAGGGGGGCATTGTCCAACACGAAGCCAGCAGGGAGGGCCCAAGCTCTCAGCTGGCCCCCCCGGCCCGGCGGCCTCGTCCCCTGGCCGCCACAGGGGGCCCTCCCACGCCGTTGCCCCAAATCCTCCACCGAGGGCCGAGCGCCGGAGCCTGCGGTATTTGCCTGCCGGCCAGGGGAAGGGCCTTCCCATGCCGTCCCCTTCCTTATTTTCTCATTCCATGCCTGCCCGGCTCACGCTGTGTGTCCCCCCCCCCCGCCCCCACAAGGACCCTGGGGCGGCTTGAGGATGCTTCCTTGCCATTCATCCTCCTGACCAGCTGTGGGAGGGAATGACCAGGACAAAGCACCAGGCGAGCCCCAGGGCCACGTGGCAGCCAGAAGCCCAGCCCTGGCCGCAGTGCCACATGGGCTCTCCAGTCGGAGACAAGGATGGCTTGCAAGGGGGCTGGCAGAGCACACCGAAAGGACCTCAGTGAAAGGGCTGCCCAGGGAGGCCCCAAGAGGCCTTCAAGGGGCACCCGGGCGGCGCAACCCCTGCTTGGGCCACATGGGAGAGGACGGCTATATCCCTCCATTTCACGTGGCTTAAGTACCAGCAAGGCCCTCTTCGGGGGCTGACCAAGCACCACAAGGGTAGCAGCTACTAGGCAGGGCCGCTGGACTGGGGGGCATGGGAGGGACGCCCACTTTAAGCCGGGGAAGCCGTTGCAGGCCAGAATCCGAGCTCTCCAGACAAACGGAGCCAGACGGTGCCTGTCCAATCGGGCGCTTCCGGCCAAAGCGGGAGTGAGGCTCCCGTCGCAGGCCACCTGGATGCCCCCACGGCTTCCCCACCCTCTCCCCCTCCCCAGAGGACCGCCCCTGCTGATCAGGCCAGGCACTTGAAACTGCTCTGCAGGCTTGCAAGCACCACACCATAACATTTTGAGCGGCGGCGGCCGCCTGCGTGACTGCGAGCACAGCGGGAATGGCAGTCCCAGCTGAGGGGGCCGGGGCGGATCGTGTGGCGTGCGGCCAGGCTGCGGCAAGCGCTGCTCTCTGAACAGCAGTCTTCTCCCTCGTGCAGCTCCATCGATCCAGCAGGATCAGGCCTTCCATGCGACCCCGGACAGCCCTTCTCCAGAGGAAGGCACTCGCCGTGCAGCCGCGCTTGACGAGGGCTCCTCGTTTCCGCTCAGGGAGAGGGCCCTTTCCCCAGCTCGGCGTTTGCCGCCGGCGGGCACTGCGAGTCCAAGGAATCCCCCAGAGGCTTCCCGTTCCGCTCAGCGCCGTCTTGGGAGCACTTGGCGCCCTGGAACTGGCGTGCCAACTCATCATATCTGTGCTTCTGTTGCTCGAGCTCTTCACTCAGCCTCAACACTTTTGTCCAGGTTTCGAAGTTTTCTTTGTGGAGGCTGCAAAAGAAGCAGGCAGTGGCGTTAACCAGGGACTTGGAGGCGCTGGCTGCCGTTTCACTGAACAGAGGACGAGGGGGAAGCAGGGAGAGAGAAGACTTGCTCCTCCCACCACCCTTCTTAAGTTCCTCAGTCAGCCTAGGGGTGTGCAAACCCCCAATCCAACTCAGGGCTCCGAATTCCACCTCAGGGCTTGCATACGAGATGGGGAGGGGGAACAGAGTCACGAAAGTGGTTATGTTTTGCTTGCATTCCTCCAGTGAATTGCACGCACTTCCAGGTTTTTCAGATCTAGAGATTTCCCCGTTCAATACTGGGGAATGTTCAATCCCACCTGTTGCCCTACGGATCCCTCCAAACCAGCCTTCCCCAAACTGGGCCTCCAGCTGCTGCCATGGGATCCGGCCAGTGGCAGCCCAAAGCAGCCCCCCGAGAGGCCCCCTCCCAATTTGGATGGGCCCGGCACACAGCGGGGGGCTTCAAAACTCTGAGCACGCAAGCAGCAGGGTCCCATGGGAGGAGGCGGGGCTTTTGCCGGGAGGAGAGGGCACCCTTCCGCTGGCACCCAGATGACTCCAGCGCTGTGGGCGCTCCTGCACGGCAAGACGATGGACGCAAAGCATGCGAGCGGAGAATGTTCGCATGAACTTCACTCATTTGCTGGAATTTGGGGAGAGAAACAGCAAAGGCCGATGATTTCTGATGCAGGTTATGAAAAGGTGGTTGCAGAAGCCTCAAGAGAGAAATTGTGAGTGGCGCTGTTTACACTACCTTTTAATTTGCTCCTCGTAGTCCTTTTTCTGTGCCTCCATCTCCTTTTGCAGCTGAGCAATCCTCTTCCGGAGCAACTCAGGGTCCTCAGGAAGCGAATCCTTGGCCACAGGACTGGGATTCGGAGCCCCGTTTTGACCAGGGCCCGGAATATCACGTGTTTGGAAATGCTTTCCTGGATTATCCCTAGGCTGGGTCACAGGGCTCTCGAGCGCCTGTTTTCCAGTTTCTGGCACAGAATCACAAATATTGTCAGAGAGTGACACATGTGAGAAATTGAGCAACTTCGAAAGTCCCTGTGACAATGTCCTTTTGTGACCAGTTGCAGAAGAAACAGGATTGGGGTGGGCCATGGAAGTAGATGACCAAAAGTCACTACTGAAAATGTCATTTTGGTCAACGCTTTGGTTCCCTCTGTTGGGAGAAGCATTCAGAAAGCATTTCCGGTTTGGAAGCGTTTGTGTCCTTTTCCGGGACTGCATTGTCCATAATCCCGGGATGACTTTTGGCTGCGTCTCCCCATGATCTCTCGCTGATGGATCTGGCTCCCCAGCCAGCTGGCAGCTCGCAGCTTCCAAGTCGTCTTTCTGCGAGAAAAGGCAGACACGTGAAAGCAATTCCTTCAACCGAGTGCAGGAACAGCCCTCTTGGCTCCTTCATATATGAAGTGGGGCTTAAGTGATGTGTCTAACATTTAAAGGAGGGGCTAAGCGCCTTCTCATGGCCTTACTCTGTGCTCTGTCTTCCCAGGCATTTCCCCGCAAGTCCCACCCCAAGAGGAGGAGGCAGAGAAAAATAAACCAGGAGTTCAGCTGCCCTATCCACACACCCATTTTGCAGGGCAGACTGGGGAATAAACAAGCTGCCATTCAGGGAGGATTAGGGTGGCTTTCCTTACAAGACACTTAAGCTTTAATGAGATAAAAGTATGTGGCGAACTTTGGGCATTTGAACAGTTGAAATGCTCCAAAGGTGCCTGATCCTATGCACATTTAGACAGAAATAAGTTCCACAGCTCCTCTAGCCGTAGCATAGCTGGCGGCGACATCCAGGGAATTACAGGCCTCATTTCTGCCTGAACAGAAAGCATTGCTCCTGAAATCAGCAAATTGCATTTCTCCTTCTGCCAGCTGGCAGGTGGGGGTGCTTTAATCCAGTGTATCTGGGGGGGTACCAGGTGAAGAAAGCGTCTTGCATCCGCAACAAAGATGGTGCCTGCCCCAGTCATCTCCAGTTTCAGTTTTTGTGTAGCAACAAGCCCTTTTGGTTAGCCAGAGCAGATTCTCCAGAAAAGTGTTGCGCCAGAATTCAGCCTCTCCACAACAGGGTCAGCGCCGTAGTTCTGTTTGGGTGCCACGTCTTCCCTAGTGGCCTCCTCCTCCTCACGTCGGCCATGTGGGCGACCGCATCCGAGCGGGGAGTCACTTGGTCAGAAAATGTGAACCAGCCCATCGGATTCAGCTGTGTGATGAATCAGGCGAGTGACGTGCCGTTTTCTCTGGGGATGCTGAATCATCGGCGGAAGGGGGAACAGTCCCGCAGGAAGAGCGGCAAAGAGCTGGCAAGGTCTTGGCAGGGTGCCCCTACAGTTTATCTGTCACCCACAACGGGGCTTGTGGGCACAAGCAGGCTGGCGGGTCTCCTCAGAAGGCAATGTCTTGATGCTGAACTGGTGATGGAACACGAGAAGATGGAAAGGCCATGGTAGTGATAACCAGCTTGCGTCTCTCTCCGTGGCTTCCAGTGAGGGTAAAGGACCATGTGAACCACGGGTGGCAACAGCCAACCAGGTGCTGCTGTTGTTAGTTGCGACGTCGCGTCCGACCCATGGCGACCCCACGGACAACATTCCTCCAGGCTCTCCTGCCCTCCACCATCCCCAGAGTCCAGCCAAGCCCACCCCCACCGCCCCAGTGGCCCCATCCAGCCGCCTCCAACTCTGCCGCCCCCTCCTCCTCCTGTTGCCAGTCGTTCCCAGCACCAGGGTCTTCACCCAGATGCTACGGGACTGCAGTTCTCATCACTCCCCATCCCACTGGCCAGGCTCCTGGGAGTGCCACACATGCCTCACTGTCATCTAAGCCTCAGCCATTAAGCCCCAGGTACCTGCGGATGTGCAAGCCGGGCTTGAAGAACCGGGCAAGTGCTCGCGCCACCTGCGCACCACAAGCCCACATGCGCTGCGTCCTGGCAGGATTACACCTTTTACTCAGCTGCCTTACGCAGCCGCAGACGGCTTCCCGGCACGGTCTTCCTGGGCGTAGCAGCAGGAAGCTCTCCAACCCCCGCTGCCCCTAAAACGGCCCCCTCACCCCCCCACCTGCCTGACCCCCACTTCTCTTTGGAGAATGTGCGCGTGAGAGGGAGAAGGAGGCTATTTTGGACAGCAGTTTTGCAAATTTGGGGTCATGCAGTTGCGAACGACTGCAAAACAATTTGTTCCTAATCCTCCACTGTGGGGCACTGTTGACGGTGCACCAGCGGACCATGGGCTTAACAAAGGGGGAGGAGAAAAGGAGAGTGAGGGGGCAGGAGCCCCTCCCCCCACTTCCTCTGCACCTGCGGCAAGAGGCGAGGCGCAGTCGGGTGCTGGCGCCACAGGCAAGGTTTCCCCTGCTCTTCCTTCTCCAGCAATTAGCATAGCATCACTTCCGGTGTGCCCTTTGATCGCATTACAAACGCGGTGGGCACTGCGCTGGGTTCGCTGCTGTTCGCCCCCAAAGCTGCCGCCGCCGCTGCTGCTGTTATGCTACATTTGTACCCCGCATTTCCTCGTCTTTCAAGGAACCCAAGGGGCTTACAAGAGCCTCTTCTGCACTTTATCCTCACAACAACGACCCTGCGAGGTAGGTTGGGCTCAGAGTCCATGCCTGAGCCAACGTCACCCAGTGAGCCCCATGGCTGAGTGGGGACCAGAGCCTGGAGCTCCCAGTTCCCCAGTCGAGCACTTGAACCCGCGTTTTGCAAAACATGTGGGCGCAGCAGCCACTTGTACATGGGAGGAGCTGCAGGGGGAGCCCTCCGGGGGAAGCGCCGCCAGGACTCCCAGGTGTCCCCCGTGCTGCTGCCGCCTGCGCCCAAGGCTGCTCCTGCGGCCGCTGCACGCAAGTGCCAGGAGCCACTGGGGCCAAGACGGAGCCCACGGGGCCCCTGAGTACGCAGCCACAGAGGCCCTCCGCCGAGGCTGCCCGGGCAGAGCACCATCGCGATCCCACACGGGATCCAAGGAGCTGGTTCTGACTTGGAGAGCCCAGCGGCCCCTGCCAGGCTGACTTTGCCCCAAGCAACCACAAGGCAAGGCCTGCTTGGTCACTTCCGCGACTTATCCAATTTCTTCCCTTGCTTCAGCATCCACAAATTCTTGCATTTGCTCTCAAAATGCTGTGGCTGTGTTTTGCTCATTTGCTTTATTCACTTCTCAGCACTCTTGCTACTATAGCTGTGGATTTTTATTATGCAAGCAGTTCTGGAGGTCTTTGCCAAGGGAAAGAGGCGAAAATTAGTAATATAGGATAATTAAACGAACTACCCTGAAGCTCATACATATGCAAAATTGTGCCTTGGCGAATGCCCTCGTGGCTGTCTCCGTGGGTAAAGAAGCAACCAGCACTCACCGTTTCACTCAGGGCTTTGCTCACCCCTCTGGATGGGACTGGCCTTTCTATGGAATCCCAGCCCACAGAGCTGCGTGGCACGGGAGCCTTCTTGGACTCGCTGTTGTGGAGCTGTGGCGAGGGGCCCTCGTCTCTGGAGGCGGGGAACAGCCTTGCATGGTCACTGATCATCACCGTCATGGCTTTCTGGATCTGCAGAGTGCCTGCCGGAGGAGAGGAAACGCAGGGAAGGATGCAGAGCAGAGCACGCTGGAATCAGCACTTGGGAAGGGCAGCCGCTGGCTCTGGAGTCCTGAGCTCTTGAGCCCCAGTCCCACACGCCAGCAAGGACCCGTACTGGACCGTTTCGAAGCTACTGGAGAGTGAGGCCACTGTGCATGGGTTGGAAGAGCTGCTTGGTGCACCAAAGACTTTGAGCACAGTTACAGAGGGTTGTGTTGTGCCTGACCTCCAACAGCCTGCCAAAGAGTCTTTGTTCATTGCCCAGAGAGCCTCGGTTATTGGGTGGTATAAAAATGAAATAAATCAACCAACCAACCCAGGCTGTAGCCCTTATCATAGAATAGCAGAGTTGGAAGGGGCCATGAAGGCCATCGAGTCCAAGCCACTGCTGTTGCAGGACACCAAGTCATACCACCCCACTCAGGTGGCTGCCCAGTTTCCCCTTGAATGTCCCCAGTGTGGGGGAGCCCCCACCTCTCCAGGCAGCCGGTCCCACTGCCATGTTGCTCTGACAGTGAGGCAGCTTTTCCTGAGGCACTGCCCTGTGGGCACTGAAGATGAGGCAGCAGGTTCAAACACGGGGGCACATCAAAATCAGTCCGCTTCTGGAGTTCCCATAGTATGTGTCCCAAGATCCAGGGGTCTAACTTTCAAGACCCCTAGATGAAACAGAGGCTGGCATCATGAGGAGGCACGACTCACTGGAGAAGACAAGTGGGACAGGCAGAGGTGGAAGAGGAAGACCACGCAGGGGACGGAGCGATTCCATCCAGGAAGCTACAGCCGGGGTTGACACGAGCTGAGCAGGGCTGTCAAGGGCAGGGCGCTCTGGAAGGCACTCATCTGTCGGGTCCCATAAGTTGGCAATGACATGGTGGCCCATGGCAACCACAAGTGTTGTGGTCATGGCACGGACAGACAGACAGTCCGACACACATCAGTTGTGTATCTGCAATAATACCTCACTACGGAAGAATAAAAACAGTACTGGATATGCAAGCCTGCTGAGCGAGCTGCACCCATCAGTACCTCTCATGATAGTCACAGGATCCTCGATCTTAGGCCGGATGAGGTTGACGCCAAACACTGTGGCCAAATTTTCCACACTCATCTTGTTGGTGGTTGAGCTCAGCTGGATCTCGTGAAGGAACCTGTTGGGCAAAGTAAGGGGGCCTGGCATTGCAGCGGAAGGTCACTGTTTCCCAAAACACTCTGCTGCTGTCGTTATTATCACCATCACTATTATTAATTACATGTCTATACTTTCCGTAGCTGAAGCTCTCTGGCAGTTCACAACTTCTAAGTCTCCCATCCAGTTTTCGACCAAGCCCAGTTTAGGATTCCAACAGGTCCTGCTCAACTTCCAGGCTCTGTTGGAATTATATGGGCAGAGAGGCAATGCCGCAGTATCCCGGATCGCCTGCCCCGATCCAGCTGGAAGCAGCGCAAGGGACGCCCCCGTGGCAGAAACCAGTCCTCCTTAGCCTCACCCGCTCTGGTGCTCCCTGCTGCCGCTTGCGGCAAGTGTGCAGATGGCGCCTGCAAGCGGCTTGTGAGTTCGCACGCCGAGCTGAGCTTCATCACGGACAAGAAGCCCTCCTGGTCAAGCTCCCCTGACGGTCTGCCAAGGGACCCGAATGGCCCCTTGTCGCTGCAAGGAGCAGCTCACGCTCACACCTGGAAGGGGGACACTCGCCCTCGCTCACTGACCCAGGTGCCTCGCTGCAGCTTCTTTGCCAGGGGCGTATTCCGGGGAGGGGAGCTTGTTCCTCAATAAAACAGGCCATGACAGGGCTTCCCTTGCTTGGCAGGGGCGGGCAGGGCAGGGCAGGGAGCAGCCCCAACGGCGATGGTGCAGCTCTGCTAAAATGAAAGCACTCGCCATACTTTTGGTAATGATTTCCAGAAAGGGAGCCTGGCAAGGAAAACGAAGCACAATCATACCAGTGCAACACTTCCCTCCTATAATGGTGATTTTTCAAATGTTGGTTTAAAAAGGCACCCCTTGGCCATTTGGCACAGATGTGGGTGTGATTAAAATGCCTCCCACTGGGAAGGGCAGCACGAGTGCATCCTGAGCTGTGAAAGGTTCCCTGGACTGGCACGTCACCAAGCCCGTCACAACCTGCCCTCCAGGAAAGGCAGCAAAACGGTGTGGGTGAGGCAGCGTGCAAGGTTCCAGGCAGGACCAGCAGGAAGTCCATGCAGAAGCCCACCGGCAGTTTGGCGACGCACCACAGCCTGAAGCCGAGTGGCAGTCGGCTACAGCACTAGGCGCCGTCTGCTCAGAGGCATCCCATGCTCTCCCACCTCCAAGCCTGTGGGACACACAAGTCCGGACAGCCACCGGCTCAGGTCGGGCTGGAACCTGCCCATGTTCACACTCTGCAGGAAAGGATGAGCTGCCAGCGCCTCGATGCAGAACTCACCGGCAGATGTAACGGAGGAGGTTGTGATGGTCCCGGGGTAAGAGAGCCAGCTTCTGCACTAGCTGCCGATGACCCTAGAGGAAGAGGAGGGCGGCCGTTCAGGAACGCCGGCAATCTCTGCGTTGGGGCGCTGGGGCCACCCTTGGGCAGACGGAGGTGGAGCACTAGAGACGCCAGGGAAGTTGCACTGAACGCTCACAGACAGAGAGAACCGCAACTGACGTTCGAGCGAAACGCTTTGGGGGAAACAGGTCTCGATCCTTTTGATTTGGGGTTGGAAGCTTCATGAGAGCTTCCTTTGGAATGCAAACAGCCACCTTGAAGGCGAGTTAGACAAGGGGTATCCAACCTTGTGGCTTCTCTGGGCCACCTTGGAAGAAGAGGAATTGTCCTGGGCTGCACATTAAATACACAAACACTAATGAAAACCGATGAACAAAAAAAAAAAAAGGCATGGTGCGCATGTTGTGAGCGGGGCCAGCTGGAGCCGGGGGTCAGACTAGATGGCCCGGTGCCCCTTCTGACTCGCTCTGTTTCTGTGTTTCTATAATATTTGTGATATCCACCACCACAGATAAGCAAACAATTCCTCACGTAATAATCCTAATTGTGTAGTGCCCCATTTGGAGAGTCTTTTAAAACGATCGAGCAGGCCCCAAGTTTGCAGTCCCTAATATAGAAAATGGACATATCTAAGTATTAAAACTTCATTGTTTTTTGATATTCCTATTATAAAAGTAAAAGAAAAGAGGGCAACATAAAACTTGACATTGCATTTGAGAAACAAATACATCAACCTCTGATTCAATGGAAGTAGTTGCAATTCTCAGTGAATTCTCAGGGTGCTCCTCAGAAAGTTTGGTCCCAATTTTACTCTTAGCGCGCTTCATTCTTGAAAATAGTTGCTCACAAATGGAAGCCACACACCGCCCTAACGCTGAAGCCGCACATGTGTACAAATAACGAGAGCATCCATACGTTGATTTTACATGACATGGCAGCATGACGTTGTCGTCTACAAAATTCCCACTCGGGAACCACACAATCAAGTTACAAAGAAAATCTCAAAAAGATCTCATAATGTTTCAAGTAAGTTTACGATTTTGTGTTGGGCCGCATTCATAGCCATCCTGGGCTTCATGTGGCCCGTGGGCTGTGGGCTGAACACCCCTGAGTTGGGCCCTTCCTCCCCATCATCTACAGATCTGACTCTGCACCTGGCTACAGCTGGCCCTCACCCTGCACTTTTAGAACAGGCATCTACTTGCGCTAGCCTTTCCAATTATGCCGCCAATGTTTTCCAGTCTTTCCATTTGGGTTGATTGTTTTAACATTTCGTTGCACTATGTTGTTGACAGCTTTTCAGAAAATTAAGCCATTTCGTAAATGACACAACAACAGCGACAACAAGATGTAGGTATTTGTGGTGTCTCATTTGGTCCCCAGGCAGCTAAGAAGTGATGTTTAGGAATACCTTTGGCTCGTCAGCATTCAGAAGCTGCCCGCATAAGAGGAAGTCCTCATACAGGGTCCATGGTATGACGGGCTCGGGAAGCTCCCTTAGGTAGAGTTTCAGCAAAGAAGCCACTGTGTGCACGTCGGTCTCCCTGCCATGGAAGAGGGTGGGGAGGGTTTGCAAGGGCAGAAAAAGAAGTTAAACATTCAACAAGTGAAATATGGAGGGAAAACACACCATGGCCCGGGTACCATCAATTGACTTCAAGACAGAAGGGGGAAACGCAACCAGGAGAAGGCATCTTACGAGATCTGACAGAACTTGCAAAGCTGATTATACAGCAGAAGGATCACCTACTGGGAAGACTTTACAAACTGCTATTATGCTGTGACACTGAAAGCCATCAAGAAAGAAGCACACGGCAATCTGGAAGCAGAATCTTGGTGAAGGGACACCACCTGCTCAGTGGGAAGCTCTCTGGAAGAAAGATATTAAATTCACTGCTGTTTTGCTTAGTTGTGCCCAACCCATCGCAACCCCATGGACAACATTCCTTCAGGCTCTCCTGTCCTCCACCGTCCCCCAGAGTCCACCCAAGCCCACCCCCACCGCCCCAGTGGCCCCATCCAGTCGCCTCCTCCTCTGCCGTCCCCTTCGCCTTTTGCCAGTCAAGCATTAAGAGAAAATTAGTATAAGATGTTTTATTGGTGGTACATTAGTCCGAAAGATATTGGGAAAATAGATGAGAATTATAATGGAAAATGTTGGAAATGTAACAGGGTAGATGGGACTTTCTATCATATGTGGTGGACTTGTGAAATAACACAAACATTTTGGAAATTGATACATGCAGAAATGCAGAAAATTTAAAATTTTCTTATCAGTCCCAAGAACATGCTTTTAGATATCATGCCAGAGACCCTTTTAAAAAACATATCAAAGTTTTTAAAAAACCAAATTAAACAATTTACTCTCATCTTGGTCCCAATGCTTGACTTATGCCCAACCCGTGCTTGCCCTCATGATGAGCTGCCTGCTCCGTGTGAACGAGAAACGAAGCAGTGACTGAATAGGATACCTGTGCAGTGCTCCTGAAATCAGTATGAACTTCCTCCCTAGGTGAAAGCAGGACTGATTCAGACCGCTGAGAAAAGATGCATAAATTTGGAAATTTGTGCAAGTGAAACTGGGAATCAGGAATGAGATGAACACATGCATGGCCTGTGCCGGACAATTTGCAAACATTTTCAGCAGACACGCCTTGCTGTTGTGCTCCAGCAGAGCAGGCCTTCAAGTTTCATGAGCAGATCAAAATTCTCATATGCCCCTAGATGGCGGGAGAATCTCTCTGCTGAAGATCCCGGCAGTCTGGCAGGGCTGGAGGAGTGAATGGTTTGGCACAGGATGCTTCCTATGACTTGGCTTTTCAACGGATGTTTTCTGAAGAGGTTGGACTGAGAGGGATTCTCATACTTTTGATAGACACCGCTGGAAATTGTGACACTTTTCCAGCCAGGAGAGGGGCATTGCAAAAGGAATTGCAGTGGGGATTGGGATTCCTGCACAGGAACGGGAGGGCTTACCCACCCAGGAAGCCCTGCTCTGAAATAGCTTAGCCTGCCCTGCCCCCGATTGGCTAGGCCTGGGAGCACCCATGTGCTCAGCCCCGCAGGATTTATCTGGAAAGTGCTGCTGCGATTCCACATGACTTGCCTTCTTTCCATGCTGCTGCTATTAGCACATCCTGTGATGGCATCACATTTATCTGCATAACCTCTGATTAGCTGCTAGTAAGGCAAGGCACACCAGAAGCCTCAATGGTGCCGGATGTTTCTGGAATGCATTTCAAGCTCCCCCAGCATATTTGCAGCAGCCCTTGGGAGAAACATGCAGTGCAGCTGCAGCTTTGGAGAACTTTATTGTCTTCAGTGTAAAGAACTGGAGAGCCTACCACAATCTTGAATATTCACTGGGAAGAGCATCTCTGAAATTGCCAAGTTCCAGTAAAAGCTCAGAGTTAACAGGCACCAGTTGATGGAGCCTCCTGGCCTTCGGCTGCTCTTTCCAAACTGCACTAGACTGAAGATGTTTGTGCAGCATAAGGCCACTCAGATTCTGCCCAGGTTGCAGGTGAGATCTGCGCCACTACCTTCTCTCCACACCTGAGCAGAGGCTCCACTTGGTGTGGTCCAAGAAGGAGCCACAGGATAGTCAGTAGGAAAATAGCCAAAGCCTCTCCAGATGTGCTGGGCCTGGGCGAAGCTATGTGGGCCTGGGAGGACGTGCTGTTGGCCAACACATCTGGGGGTCTCCCAGTTGGAGGCTGAAGGGGCGACTCAACCCTCCGGTCTGCTATTCTCCCTCCCAGGAATGGACCACCTACTGGTCAAACGATGGCCTCTCTCCAGCATCAAACGCATCCCGCAGCTGCTTCACCAGATTGTCTTGGCCCGGGAGCCGGAAGATTCCCTCTTCATTCAGGCCGCGCTTCCTTATGAACTCCACGCACTTCTCAACCAATATGGGGACCTGATGCTGCCCGAATTTTTGTTCGTATACCATCGTCTCCACCAGCTGTTGGCCAAAAACCACTGGGGGAAAAAGACACACACAGAGGAGAAAGACGGGAAGGTGGGTTCTCAAATGGTCATAATCCCAGACAAGATTTTTCAAATGGGGACTGACTTTGTACCTCTCCACCAATTCTTACAATGCTAATAATGAAAGAACAAACACATGCACACATTCTTAAAACACCTAGCTTTCAAGCGTTACGGAAATGCCTAGCAATACTTCTATCAGCCCCGGAAACAGCATTCCCACAGTGCAGCTGGGAGAACCACAGTTCACCTTGGAAGGCTACCTGTTTTGATCACGGCAGGGCTCCCAACCCCGTCTCTCGGCCACAACACCCCGATCTGCCCCTTTGCCTCTCTGCTTTAGGGACAAAGACTTTTCAGCACCTTTCAGGTTTTGGCAAGTGTTTGACTGGCAGAGAGCTCTCGATATGTTTACCTGCCTAAGAACAGAACAGCTAGGCAAAAGGAGACGAGCCCAATTTATACTCAGCATTATTTCCAGAAGGACAAGAGTTTGTGGTGACAGCGATACCTTTCCTCTGGAACAAGTGCCTTTTCTTCCTGAAGTCCCAACAAAAGAACATCCCTGGAAAGCAGTAACGCAACTCCCAGCCCTTCATCTGGAACCCAGGCAGAAAATCACAGCCGAGACATCCAAGCTTCAGCCAGATCCTGAAACCCAGGCAGCAGAAAGCGGCGGAGGAGGTGCGTGCATCCCTGGACGGCTTCCCTCAACGCCCTTAATCCCAGGTTCCAGGGAAGCCATGTCGTCCCGCCCCTTTCTGCATCCCGCCACTGAGACGTTCCTCCTGCCCCGAAGCTCGAGGGCTTGCTGGCACCTGCCACTCCAAGGTCTGCTGGTTTTTTCCTTCCTACTTTTCCATCCGGTGTTGTGCAGTTTAGCGAGAGCTCTCTGGCTTTTAAAAAGCCCTGTTGCAGTACCTAGTAAGCGGCGCCTTTCTCCACTTAGGACTTTGGCGCAGGGCTTCCTTTACTACAGTGAAGTCTTGGAGCACGCTGCCTTCTCCCCCTCGTGGCCCTCCAAAGGCGCTCTCTTTGCCTCACAAAAGCGTCCCCGCAGGAGCGAGCCTGGGAGCTGAGATTGCACCTGGGAAGCCGTGGCACAGCCTGGAAGGGATGTTTGCAACCTCCCTTCCTCAGCGGGCGGCTCTGGGGCCAGTGCAGAAGGCACCCAGCATACCCGCAGAGCTGGCGGGAGGAGAGACCCGGAGCCCGGAGCTGCCCTGCGGTCGTTCACGGTCCATTCTGCGTGCCGGCCTCTGGATCTGCGCTTGGTCCCAGGAGAGAGCGACAGGGAGAGTCCGTGAATGCACTCTTCATACCCTGGCCTGGGAGGCCTGGCCAGCTGCCAGTATCAGGCACGTTCGTCTCTGGTCACCGCATCCCGCACCCCCCGGTCTTAGCCACCCTTTTGTCTCAAAGGCCAAATGAATGATAAATGGCACGCTTCATTTCACACACACACACACACACACACACACACACACACACACACACACAGAGGAAGCAATGCACCAGAAATACGCCCATGATGGGAAGAAGCCCCTTGGCAAGCTAGTGGCCAGCTTCACCGTGGCCCCATCTCCCCGGTCCCTGGCCAAGCACTGGAGACCCTTCCCTTCCGGCGCCGCTTCCGCCTGGAGAAGAGACTCAGCAAGAGGCCCTTAACTCCTCCGCCCAGGAGGCCGGCGCAAGGCAGGCTTCGCCGCACCTCTCCTCTGCTCTCCTCTGCTCTGCTCTGCTGCAGAGATGCCTGCACAAGAGCCGAGGGCCAGGAGGCTGGCAGGCCGCCGGCACCAGTGCAGTGCCAGAATCCCAACCTGGGAAGCGTGTAGGAGGGGCACAGCTGACCCCCCTGCACAGGCCCCCCTTTCCATCCCTGGCAGCACCCCTAAACTGTGCTGGGGAGGAATCCCTCCTGGATCACCTGAGAGCTGCTGCAAGGCCGGGCTGCGGGGACTAAGCAGGGCGCTCCGCACCCACAGCCTGGTGTCCGCCATTTTCATCCGGCTACAGCCCAGTCCCTGTTCCGGGGAGGCTGCTCCCAAAGTCCGTTTGGCCTCCCGCCCTGCTTACATTGCAGGCAGACGTCGCTTTGGCCGTGGCCCGGCCTCCGTGCGCATCCACTTGCGCCTGGCTCCGTGACGTGCACGCCGTTGGGGCAGCCACGTCATGTCTGGGATGCCTCCACAACCCACAACTTTCTCACAGCAGAACGTCTGCAGGGCCCTCCTCTCCCGTGCCGCTTCCCCGCAGTGGGTCTATGAAGCAGCGGCAGGGCGATCTGCACGTGGCCGTGGAGGGGTTTCGGGGTCCACCAAGACAGCTGCTCTGCTTTACCTCCTAAGGGGGACCCCACCACTCGTCGGAGCGACTTGATCCACTCCTCCATGTCGGACTGGGAGTTGGCCATCAGCACGTAAGAGTCCGGCCCGGCCCGATTCTGCTCTCCTGAAGCGCCTGTGTGAGGGGAAAACAGGATTACTCATATGGGGAGCGGAGAAAATAACAGGCACTCCTCTCTTCCTCTGCGGGGTCCCCGCTCGGCGTTCCTATCTGCGAAGTAGGGCAGTGACACCGAGGGGCTGTTTCCCAGAGGCCAGGCCTGGAAGCTGCATTTCCACATTCCTCCAGACCCCGGGAGGAAGGCCCCTTTCCCGGAGACAGAGGTTGGTTTCCATCCACCAGCACAGGAAAGGTTGTCCTGGCTCCACCCGCTTCGCTCTTTTAATCAGGCAAAGCAGCAGCAACCTAATTGCACTCCAGCAATCCTATTTAGTGTCTTTTGGATCTGGTCTTGGCAGAGTCTGCCCAGCCTGGAGAAAACAAGGGGAAGGAAGGAACCCTACTACATTTCAGCCTGGTACCAAGCTGCAAGGTGGAAATAGAGGGCACCTGAAACGGAAAAGGTAACTGGAAGAGGGAAGAAAAGAAGGGAGTCTGGGAATGGACCCCATGTGTGGGCGCCAGTGCCACACACGGAGAGTAGCGCTTCTGGTAGGAACCCTACTAGACATGCCAGGAGAGATGCCAGGAGAGCAAACTGGCGTGCACGGGTAGCAGAGGCTGCCCAGGAAGGGGCCAAGAAACAAAGAATGACCAGAGTGGGAAAGCAGGCAGTCGCTGCTCACCTGGAATAATTTCAAAGATAAACCTCCCGACTTCATCAGAGGTGGCGGTAACTTCTTTGATGGTGCTGCCGTGCAGATGGACCGAGCCCTGCAAGCAAAGACAGGACTGTCACGAGCCGAGCGGCCACTTCAGATGCGCTTTTTTATGCGGAAAGCCCCTTTGGGCTGATTCTAATGGTTGATGTTTGATATCTCCAACGGCGCAAAGCTCAGGGAGCCAAGGCTCCATTTGGATGCCAGGAAGCACTTCCTGACACTTGGAACCCCAGTGGTACAGAATGGGCCTCCACAGGAGGTCATTGAGGCTCCATCTGTGTGGGTGTTCAAGGATAGGCTGGACGTGCACATGGTGGGCGTGTCGTGAGCGGAGCCAGCTGGAGCCGGGGGTCAGACTAGATGGCCCAGGGAACCCCTTCTGACTCGCTCTGTTTCTATGTTTCTATATACCTGGCATATCTGCAATGCAATGATCAGTACACGATGCTGTTTGAAGGTCAGCAGCGCAACAAATGCAGAGCGTACACAAGTAAGGGTGCAGTCCTGTTGTTCGCACCCACAACGCTTTCCAGCTCCCGAACTCAGCAGCTTCCAAGTATCCAGGGCAAAACAGAAGACGTGGCGGAGCTGATCTACCTACCTACCTACCTTTTCATATTTCTAAGCCGCCAAGTAGTTCAAATAAACTCCCTGGGGGTGGACAACATTCCCGCCTCCCCGCACTTCCTGCTGTGCAGTTTACCTAGACGGCCCTTTTGGGCTTCCCAGCTGGGATGCTCGGATTGGGAAGGCCGGAGGCTGGTCCGCAGGAGGAAGCCAGCGACTCCTCTCCTCTGGCGCAGCTCTGCGGTGTCGGTTCCCATTCCTTTCCCAGTTTCGCCTCGCATCGGATTTTCCCTGCCAGTGGCACCTGGGTGGACCATTTCACGGAGCCGTCACAAAACCTCTTCCTTGCTCCACCTCCACCAGCTCGGGTCCCTCCAGTTTAGGAGCTGGGGCCTTTTGCCCCAGCACTCACTGCTTGCCCCTGCTTCCCCTGGCCTGCACTCGCCGTGCTGAAATCCCCGGTCCCCTTTCTGGGGGATCCCTTGCAGAGGAGGCAAAGGCAGGGTGTGGGGCGCCCCGAGTACTGGGGGTGCCCCTGGGCAAAGCTGGGGTGAGGGGCACACTCCCAGGGGAGATGCGGCAGGGCTGGCACTCCCTGCATGAATTTGCGCAGAGGCCTCTCTGAGCGGAGGAGCCCATGGAAAGGCGTGGGCTCCGCTTCACCCCGCAGAGCCGGCCAGCCTGCCCAGCAGTGGGGCGAGCCAGCCCCGTCACGAGGGGCTCACCGCAGATCGGGCAGGGGCCGGCTCAGCACCTCGAGGGGGCTCGGGCGTGGCTCCCCAGCCCGCTGCAAGCGGCAGGGTGGGCGCAGCAGAGGAGACGGGCCACGTGGCCGAGAGGCACTTCCTGCCACAGGAAGCCTCGTGGCAGGCCTCAGAGGCAGGGGAGGCCGAGGCGGAGGCGGGTGGCGCTCTGGGCAGGGCAGGAGGCAGTGCGCGTGAGAAGGGAAACCAGAAGAGAGGAAATGTGCTGGCGGGGGGGGGGGGGAGCCTCACGCACATGGGCTGGGAGCTCCCGGCAAGGAGGGGGCGACCAGGAGGGCTGCCAGGTCGGCATGTCGGCCTTTGGCGGCCGCTCCATTTTGCAGGTGCCGCAGGGAAGGATTTGGCGGCCGCTCCATTTCTTCCTGATCAGTTGGCAACCCTGGGTAGGAGCGGCGAGGAGCAGCTCCCACGCGCCACAGTCCCCAGAGAGGCTTTGGAGGTGGGGTCTTGGCCTCCCTTGCCACAGCAAAGCATCTATGGCCATTAGACTGGCAGAATCATGAGAGCTCTCCTCGCTGGACTGGACCGAGGGCCATCTAGTTGAGCCTCCCACAGCTGGGCGTTCTCCTGAAGCACCGATGCATTGATTGTAGAGCAGTGCAGCTCCCATCATCCCCAGCCAGTGGGCCCCATGCGCTGTTGGCTGACGATGATGGCAGCTGTGGTTCGGCAGCACTCCCAGCAGGGGGAGGAAGGGTCTGCACCCACTTTTTCCCCCAACAGGTGACACCCTGATGCTTCCGACAAGCCCACCAGCCCCTTTTCTTTTGACCCATCCACAAATCACTTAACGATCAGCCTTTATCAGTTACTCATCAAGAGCATCACCATTGTTCTTCATTTATCACAATACATTCTGAGTAGAGAGGCGTCTACTTGGACTCATTATAATTAAGATAGAACCCTGTGTCAATTTGAAACCTAGCATTGGTTATATTTGGGGTCAGTTTGGCACCCCAGACACGTTCCCCCAGCAAGGCAATTCCTGCCCATGAAGAGGCCTCCATTTGACCTGATGTTTCCCTGGGAGGTTTGAATCAGCATAAAAAGGGACATTGATGCAGCTGGTATGGGGAATTCAAGGCCGAGCCATTCCTGCATCTATGGCCATCAGCAAGACCAGCAGAACAATACTTTGGCCTATCCACCTGCCACCTGCCCTAGAAATTTTAGCTAAGACAATTGGCTTTCAAAGGAAATTAAGTTGACCTGCAGTTAGCTTCCTGTTCTGTCTCAGAATGGTGCCCTTTGCTCCCACAGCCCTTTTCTTGTGAAAATACTGGGGGATTTTGTTCCTTAGGCATGTTTTGGTTTACAAAAAGCAAATTGGAAAATTCAGGAGGCTGAAATTGGGGGATTTTTTTGACCAGCCTGAAAATATGTTCCAGAAGTACTAGACTGCACATCCGCTTGTGTAAATGGCACAAGAACGGGTAAATCTGGGCTTGTCCAGAACCCCCAGGGTCGTGCAGGATGGAAGACCCGATGCAGGAGTCAGGGTCCTGAGTGTCTGCTACACTGGTGCTGAGCTGCAGTGCTCTGGGTATTTTCATCCTGAAGAAGGAGCCCACAGGCGGAATGAGAACTCCCTGAAGCATCAGGAGAACATACTCATGGGGAGAACTCTGCTGTCCGAACAGAACACACTCGTGTGAGCTGGCAGTACACGGAGGTTTTATAGGTAAGTGGAAACAGGTGCTAAATAAGTCAGGTTCTCAGAATAGCAGGCCTACCATATTTACAAAAAGCCCGGAATGATCCTTGCGTGCACATCAAAGACACCCACCATAAAATACTGCACTGTGAACTTACGACGCCTCGTCTCACAAAAAACCAAAGACTGTGCTTGGTCTGAGGGAGGCTTGTAGCCTTGCACTGGGTCCCCCCCCCCCCCCCCCTTGCCTGCTGTCCTCCCCACCTCACACGGCTGCTCTGATGTGCTGCCACTGCATCCTAGACTATTTCAGGCCAATTTATGCAAACCGAACATCAAAAAGATGGGAGCAAAAATGGCCAGTAAATAGAAAGTGGATAATCTTTCTCTGCCCAAACACAGGATTGCAGAAACAAAGACACATTTCCCCAGCTTGGTGCCCTCCCATGTGCAGAGCAGGGCAACAACTCCCATCATCCTCTGCCAGCATGAGATGGGACAATGAAGACTGCAGTCTGGGGAATCAAAGAATATATTTTCAGGGCCTTCTTCAATGCCCTCAATGACCAATGACAAATTTTATGTTTTATATTGTATTTTTAAAGTTTACTCTTGTTTAAGCCTCCAGAGAGCTTTGCATGGAAGTGTGCAAAATTCTGCAGGGAGTTCCCTTCACCAGACTTGTACATTTAACATGTTGTTTAACAGGAAGGTTAATGGTGCTGCATTATAGTTCAATGTACAGGCCTCTCTCGCCAACGGTCCTTCCCGGGCTAGCCAGAATCTGGGCCAGCAAGCATGAATGAGGCCACTAAATCAATGCTGGGGCTCAGTCACCAAAACTGGTCAAAGCTGCTTCTCACTGTCCTCTGGGGCAATACAGGGGATTCTGGGCCCTTCTCTCAGATGGCATGTCCTCAGCCACCCATGTGCTACTTAAGAGTGCCAAATGCCTTTGCATAGCAGGCAGCCCAGCACCAATGGAAAAGATGCAGCATGTGATCCTCAGCTGGGAGAGCTTTCTACAGTTTGGGGGCTACCACTGAGAAGACCCTTCTACCTGCTGCTACCAACTGAGCTTCCCACGGAGGTGAGGGAAGGAGGACAGCCTCGGATGCTGAGCATCACAGATGGTCCCCAGGAGCTGGGGCTTTCCCTGTTCCCCCTCTTGTCCTCTCCTGCTACTTGGCCATTGCCGCTGGCCCACCTCCAGGCCAGGGACGGGGAGAGGAGAAGCATGAGCATTCATTTGTCCCAGAGACGTGACCTCCCATCCACCCGTTACCTGGGACTTGAGGTCCTCCTCGTCCTTGTAGTAGTACAGGTGTTGCCCTCGCAGCACGAAATACCTCTGCTGCCAGTTCCTGACCAGCGAACGCTGCTTCTTCAGCCAGCCGGCCTTCAGGGGTCGCTCCAGAGGGTTGGGCGCCTGAGACCAGCTTCCGGACCCCTTGGGATCCACTGCCATCATGCTCTGGGAACGCACTGGGGGGAGAAGCCAAATTGAGCACAGGGAACGCAGCTGCCCCAAGGTGCCCCGTGCTCTCGGTGGGGAGAGTCCACCGTGGCCCCCAAAATGGAGCAAAAGTGGACATGCAGAGCGGGTGAGCGCTTTGCCTGCTGGGCCTCCAGCTGTGGCAAAGGGTTTTCAGAAAGGAAGCTACCGCAGCAGTTTGTTCAAGTGGACTTCCTTTTTCCTGCGTGGGCGTCATTCTTTACAAACGAGACAAGAAACCAGAATAGCTCTCAGAGGGCATTTTAGCAAACGCATCAAGAAATGTACATGGTCTCGGTCCCTGGCTTTTGAGCTGCTCCGGTGGGAAATTTGGGAAAGGAAATGGGTGCAACTCACTGAAACTGTCCGACTTTGTCAGTCCGCGTTAGAAGGAAGGGCTTTTCGTTTGAAAAGGAAAATAAAATGTATTTCACATTTTACAGGCTGGGTTTTTGTTTTGTTCTTGTTTTGGCAACAACAGTGTCTGAATGAAAGTATGCCTATGTGACATGCAGAGAGCCTAAACACAGTAGGGAAAACCGAACAGAGATAAAATAGGGGAAGAAAGAAAAGGCACCAGAGCTAAACAAAAGCTATTATTTGGCAAGATGCACATGTTTATCCAAGCAGAAAGTCTGTCTAGATGAGGTGGTCTTCACCAGGGTGGTGCCCCGTCTTTACAGAGGACAGTCCTCTGTTTTGAAGGTATCCTCTGTCTGAGGGGCTGCCCAATCCTGGCCCAGTTTAAAAAGGAAGGATCCTGGGAAGAGAGGCCAGGCCAGCTGTTGGACACTTGGAGCAGACTCAAAGGTGCATGGCTGAACTCATCCCTGGAGCATGGATGGGCCTGACCGTCTCGGATTTAAATTCTAGACATGGTTTCCAAAGCTGCATTTCTATAAAACGGCACTTGCACATTTCATGCAAATATGTCTCCCTTTATCCTCATTTGTGGCAATGCTTCAGCGGTCCCCCCATTCAGAAATGCCGAAAGGTCACTGGGCGGTCACTGCAGGTCAGGATTAAGCCTGGGGAGGCAGCCCCTGTGGTGGACACGGAGCCAAGATGCCCTGGTGGAGCTCCAAAGCCAAACATCCATCCCATGCACGGAATACTTGCAGCCGGGTTTCTTTTTTGCGTCTCTTTGTTTACAAGAATGCGTCCAGCGCCCAGATGAAAACAAACAGGGCTCGACCTGTCCAGAGGACTTTAATATAGTTGGGGGTGGTGTCCCACACAAGACGCCACTGAACATGTGCAGAGTGGCCTGTGACTACCCATTTTTTTGTGCAGGCCCAACTAGACCAAATCTGCCATGTCTTTTGGCAAAGTTTTCTGTGGAGGAACCGGAAAGGTTAGCCTCACCTCCAGAACTGTACCTGCAATACAGAACCTGGGCGTTCCTCATGCACAAAGGGTTCCTGGCCTCAGCTAGAAAGCGCCTCTCACCCGGCTTGCCATTTCGTCACCCGGCATCTCATCAGCACAGGTCCAAGGCTCTCCATCCCTCCCCAGAACTGCAACAGCTCATTTAGGAACTGCAACCCCTCAACTCTTTGCCTCCACAAAGGGACAGAAGCAGCACAGCGGTGCAAGAATATGTTCAGTGGATGTGGGATCGGTGCCCCTGGAAAGATGCCTGTTACAACGGCCGCCTTCCCCGAGCTCATGCCGTGCCCTTCAAGCAGGCTTCTCTGCGCAGCTTCCGCACGTCCACCCAGCCTGTGCAATCTGGAGACAGACTTCTTGGAGGAGCTGCCTCAGCTAGAACGAAATCCTTCTTGCACTGCGCAGTAAAGCTCTCTAAATGCTCCGCTTTGTTATTTGCGAGCAGCTCCCCTCTGCTGGCAACACGTGGACCAGACCTCTGGGGAAGCCGAGCGGAAGAGCATTCAGTGTAATGCTAGCTTTGCCCTTTCGGTGCTTCCGCACACGGCAGGCAGGTTTCAGTCCCTGCACGCATCTGCCACGGCGCGACAGGCCAAGAATTCTCACAGGTGCCTCCTAAAGAGGCCAAGTGAGCCCAGCTGCCGTGCTCATTTCTTGGACGCAAGCACCAGCTTGCACCGCAGTCAACCAATGGTTGGTGGGATAACATAATTTCAAGCTTTTGTTGCAGCTGAGCTGAGCTGAAACCTGGGGGCTGCAGAGCAGGGTAGAAATTTGCTTTTAAAAGCACAAACTCAGGTAGATCGCTGGGAGGGGGGGAGGGGGGCGTGATTTAGGGTTCATTTAGGGTGATTTAGGGTTCTGTGTCATTTGCTTATGCAAGTCCCCCTCCCACAGTGGCCATTTTTGCATTTGCCAAAACAAACAAAAACAAAAACAAAAAAGATAAGATTGCATGGCGGGAAATATTCTGAAAATCCACAAATATGCAGCCTTCAAAGCAACTTACCTCCTTGAGGTGGGATCCACCTCTCCCACCGCCAGCCACCCACTTATTATTTCTTTTATTTAAAACTGTCTAGACCGTCCCTTACCTTGGTCTTGGAACAGTTTAACTACAAGACAATATAAAATGAAACCCAGCATCCTCATGAGTTTTCCAACTGTGAGAAGTAGAAGATTACTGTGACTAACAAACTAGATCAGGTAAAGCTATACGGATCACTCAGTGATTAATAAAGGTATTGTGATTAACACAAACTAATAGACTACAAGATGTAATTGGTAGACATGGCATTAAACTTTTGAACTTAGAACCCAAAGTAGGCTGCGTGATTAGCTAATGCATGTTAATGGTGCCTCCTACTATGACTCGGAGGGTTATTAGCATGAACGTGGGATGTATGAGCAGGTGGGGGCAACATGCCAAGCAGTGGTAGGATGAAGACGGACAGGCGGAATGGGAATTCCCAGCATCCCAGCCCATGGGAGAAAGGAGGCAGGGACCCTGCGCGTGAGTAGGGAATGAAGGGCTGTGCTAACTGCTCCCCAGGGCACCACCTTCGGGGTGAGTGGCCAGTCTGGCCAGAGTGTATTGGACTGTTGCTGCTTGGCACTTTGCCTCCCGTATCGTCATTGCTTGGATTCCATTCCTTACACCACCAACAATAAAGCCCTGATTAAGGCAATCACATCTTAAAACATTGGGAAAACAAAGAGTCAGAGTCATCGGGCTTGACGCATCCGTTGCACAAGTGGGATGTGAAACAAAAGGCTTCCAGGAACCGCGGCCTCATCGAGGTGCTTCTGCTCTTCTGCTCAGAGCGCCAGACAACCCGGAGCAGAACCTTGCAAGGCTTGCTCGGCCCCAGACGAGGAGGACTGAAGGGAGCCGCCTCCACAGCCCCTTCCTTACTGTGCCAGGTCACCGTTTGGCCACTGGCGCCAACCCTCCGGGGCCGGGCAAGCCCAGGGTTGTCAGAGTGCCCTTCCAGGCATCTCATGCAGCACAGATCTTTGGGCAACTTGGACGTCTGGCCTGCCTTCCAGTGCTGCCATGCTTCACCTAAGAGTTTGGGAAGCTGAGCAGTTCGGGTGGGTGCCCCACAGCAAAGCAGTGGGAGCCAGGAGGGCCCCCAAAGGCCAAACGCCTCCTCCTCCTCCTCCTCCTCACGAGGCAAAGGATGAAGCACGAATGTCTTTGGCAGGGAGCGAGGCAGTGCTGGAACCGGCCCTGATACAGAGGCAGAGAGCTGCTGCTGTTCTTTGCAGGAACTCCCAGGGGGCTGCCCCAGAGATCCGAAGGGGAACAGGAATGCATGGGGAAGCCACGAGAACCCCCCTCTCACATTCAGTGTGTGTGTAAGTAAACCTTGCTTTGCTGTAGGTTGGATTCCTGCAAAGGAAATTGCCCCCTTGAAAAGCACAGAAGCCCCCAGACCGCTTTGCAAGCGAGCAGCGCGATGTTGGACTTGCTCTGGGGAGCCTCCTGCTGCCCCAACGTCCCCGTAGGCTGGTGAGCGTGATGGTGCTAAGTGGGCGCATGTGCCAGGATGCTCAGCGGACTAGAAACCCACCCTCAAGGAGTCCCTCAGCATCTTGGGCCACTTTTGCTTAGGCCTGCCCAGAGGCTGGGCTTCACTGCACCTCCAGGGAAATTTTGAGGGACGTGGGAGCCAAGGATCTCGGGGCTCAGAAGCTTCCAAGAAAAGCCGTGAAGCACTCGGTCGACGAGAGCTGCCATGCCTGCATGCAATATTCACCCGCCAGGGAGCACTCTTATTCGACCGTGTCCCGCTGGCTTTTTTAAAAAGAAAAGCTGCTCCAGGACCTGCTTGTGCCATCTCCTGGTTTCGTCTCACGGCAGGTTGTTGAAGAAGAAACAGGAAGAAGCACCGTGTGAATTTGCTAATGCTCAGGTGTTCAAAATGCCATGGAAAGCTTCCCAGGTCTGACCCGTGTCTGACCGCTGTTCTCCCAAAAGCTTCGCTCCTCGCCTGTTTATTTTGCTGTCTGTGCATCCGGGAAAGGAAAAGCGGCGTGCAGCACGACTCGGGTGTGTGGACCCAGACGCCATCCCAGGCAGAGAGGAGGAAACGGCACCCTTCCCGCCCTGTGTGGAGCCCCCAGCAGTGCGGGCATGTCCCCCCACCCAGTGCGGCACAGGGCCTCGGGTGGAAAGCAGCAGGAAGCAGCAATGCTCTCGGGAGCTCCGGACTTGCAGGGTCCGCTTGCTGCGACGGCTCATTGGCAGGCAGCGCGCGTTCACGAGGGGCGCCCTCACCTCGTGCCCCAGCCCCCACACCCCGGGCCTGTGGGCTCCGCGTCGTGGCCCCGGCCAAGAGGCCTCCCGGGTGAGTTGCCCCCCGAGCTCATCGTCCAGCAGCCATCCTGTAGGATGCCTGGCAGGCAGCGCCGTGCTGCACGGGGCTCGCTACAGCTCGGCAGAGTGGGGCCTGCTTCAGCAGCTCCACTGAATAAAGTGCAGGCCCCCAGCTCCGAAACGGGATCCACACAACCGCTGGCATGGGCCACATGGGCCCATCTGGATACATCTGGATTCAACTGGAACACTCTCCCTAAGGAGATTTGCCTGGTGCCTTCGTTGTACTCTTTTCGGCACCAGGCAAAGACCTCCCTCTTTAAAAGACACTTTGGTATTTATTAGTTGCCACCTAACCTTACACTTGTACTGTTTTTCATGTATTTTATCCAGTTTTATATTATTTTATGCCATTTTTTTTTGTTTTGTGAAGCATTTTAATTATCCATTGTTGGTTGCCTAGAGATGCCATAGCGAAATAGGTGGCATGTAAATGTTTGAATAACTAATAAATAAATGGGCAGGTAGCACAAAGATGGGGGGGGGGGGCTATGCCTGATTATGTATCCAGGTTATAAACTCCAGATTATGTACCTGGCATTAAAATACTAAGCAAACACAGTTGCTTTTGCATAGCCATGATTCGCATTGCATGCTTCTGCCTGGAGCTCCTCTCCGGAACCTGGAGACAGACTTAGTTCCCAGTTCAGTGGCCAGACATTTGGGCCCTTCGAGGGAGGGGCTGCATCCCACCTTCTCCCCTGAACAGCCCCTGGAAGAACGATTGCAGGGGAGAGAGCACCGAGCGGGGCAGACTAGTAAAACCGCTCGGCCATTCGGGGGGTGCCACTTGCTTGTTTGCAAAATGAGTTGCGCCACAACGGAGGAAAAGGCTTTCTTTCCCTTGAGAAAGGAAACCTCGAGGACACTGCCTTTGCCTCTGGTCATCAGCAGAGACTGGATTCTGTGTGAGGAGGGCCACGCAGGAGCAAGCGGGGACCTCGCAATCAAAGCCACGAACATCCAGATGTGTCGCACATCTGAACACGGGCCCAAAACAGCCGAGGGCGGGGTCCTGGCACTCCGAAGGCCATCGGCGGGTCAACTTTGCCTCCTGCTAGAAGGGGGCTTAGCGCCTAAGGAGCTATTTTAAAACCCAAAGAGAGCTTGATGAGAGGAAGAAATTCGGGAGAACAAGGCAAGACGAAGGGAGCAGGAACACGGACCACTTGGCACCGTGTCCCACAGGGGTTCGTGCCTCCAACTCCGCTCTCGAGTCAGCGTGAGAGGCAAACGCCGACCATTGGGCGAGGAGAGGCGCCCCGGGCCATTGCAGAAAACAGCAATAGCAGTAAATAAAAATATCAGTACCTATTTTGGACATGTCCATCCTCAGGTTGAAGTCCCAGTTCCGTGGCAGCTTGAGGGACATTCTTATTCCAGTTGTGTGATGGACTGCGTAGCCGTCCCTGAACTGTGGGTCTTTTTCACCTTTGCAGATTGTGCACGGGATTTTTTAAATATTTCCTTCTGGGCTCACTTCAAAAAGAAGCGAAGCCTTATCAGTTTGCCAACAACTTCCTGCGACTCGCTGTGAGAGCCCAGAGCAAATGCTTTTCAGATCCCTGCTTCTCGCCCACAGGTGTGATGCAGGCCGTCTTCTTCCAAGCCCTCCAGAACTGCTGGCGCTCCTCGCTGCTCCTCTGGGTGCACTTGGCTTCACATCGCAATACGAAGATTACGAAGTCACGAAAGAGCCCCCCGTGGCCTGGGCTGCCAAGTCGCGCAGCTCTCGGCTTGCCATCGCGTTTGAGGAAGTGGCTGCCGCCTGCGCAGCTGACGTGCGTGAAAAGCCCCAGCCAAACCTCCAAGTGTTTTGTCTGCGACTTGGCCCACGATTTCGGGAAATGACTGGCAAAAGCAGGGAGACGCTCTCCTAGAGCCGCACTCCACACCCCGAGAGACACGCTGATGTGGGGCACTGGCAACCACGACCACGGCGTGAGCAAACCTCGAGCCACCCCGTAAATTAGTGCAATGAACACAACTCGCTGGGCACCGCAGTGCTCCTCACTTGTGCCGGCCCACACCGGCATTTTGCGTGGCTGTCACAACGCTCAACGGGTCAAGACGGCGTTGCGGTTTCAACGCAAATATCGCCGTTAGGACAGAGACCGGGGCTGCGTGACACCGCCAGTCGTGGGGGTTGCCGCCAGAGGGGGGGTTGTCAGGTGCACCTGGGCCGATTGCCCCTGGATGGCTCGTTCTGGGGCAAGAAGCTCCTCCCTCCAGCACCATCCCTCGTTCCAGGGGTTGTTCTACCCACCATGGGCTGTTGCACCATCTGAACCCGGACGACTGAGCTCATGGTGCAGGGGCAGTCAGCAGGGCCTTCGCCAACAGGACAGTCTCCCTGCCCTCTCACAAGCAGCTCCTGGGAAAGGAGACCTGGCCCCTGGGGGGCTGCCACGGCCTCCCCCTCCCCGTGGTCTGGGCCACTCTGGGATCCTGGGGGCTTTTGCGGACTGGGAAAGCTGGTTGATCCCTACAAGCAGGCTCCACTAAGTGTCCCGGGGGGGGGGGGGGTATTTACTCCATCCCAACCTACAACCTTTAAGGGGTTTTTTTTAAAGTCCCTGGGAAATACGTGCATTTCGAACAGGGAAATTATGCATCGGATTTCATAGCCTTGATGTATATAGAAAGGAAGTTTGTGGCACTTACTTCCCCGCTATTTATTTCCTGGTGATATACAGACTTCCCCTCACTCACTGAAAAACCCCCAACAAGCTTCTCCCATTTCTAAAGAACTGCATATGCAAGCAATTAATGTAGAGATATTTTATTTAACAATAACAGTACAGTATATAAATAGGGTATAATACCTTTATATAGTATTTCACATTCTGACAGTCAAAAACAAGAAAACCAGAGGAAAGTCCATGTGTATTTGCCACACACACACGCGCACGCACGTGCACACACACAGAGGCATCCCTCCCTCAAAAGACAATACATTTAAAAATAAGTGGATAGCGTGGACAGAATAAACACACTGAATGAGGGGCACAGGGACCATGCAGGCAGGGAGGGAAAGGAACTGCAGAAGGGCAATGTATTTCCTCCAAGAGGACTAGAGGCATGACAAGCGTCATATTGGCAGCTTCAGATACATCACTGTGTCAGGTGATGGCACCTCTTCAACCCTACAGAGCAGTTAGCAAAAGGAGGTGTGCGCTGGGGAGCAGAGATCAGGGATCCAAGCATGGCCAGGTGGTTCTGCTCATGCTCAGGAAAGCTGATGCCCAGAGGCAGCAACTTCTGGGATGCAGAGTAGCTCTGCCCTATATGGAAACCATTACAGAAAGCGGGGTTCCCCCCAGCCCCCGGCCAGCTCCAGGATGAGGCCCGGGCTGCGTGCAGTCAAAAACTGCTTTGGCAAAGGGCAGCCAGCTCTCAGACACTGAGCCACTGGATCTGCCGCCAGTTGGATTCCGGACCCCAGACACACGCAGGCCTCTCAGAACGGTTCTCAGGATCGCCGCCTCCAAGGCGCCGACACCTTTAAGCACACACTTTCTGCTCAGCAGCTCTCTCCGCAACGGCTCCTGGCCCGCTGCCACCCCTGGAGGGCCTCCCCCAGGGACGTGGAGACACCCCGCGCTTCTGGTCCCGCTCCTGACTCCTTGCGCCCAAGCAGGGGGACTCCAGTGCTGGGCTGGTCCCTGGGAGGCAGCCCCTCCCCGCCACCCACAGGCACTCCCCGAAGTGGTCCCCCGGCCCGGGGAGCATGGCCTGGCTCAGCCGAGCAGGCTTCCTCTGACAACGACACTGGGGAAGCTCGCCCTGGTGACCCGGACCCCCGGGCAGAGTTCTAGGCCTGGACTGGGACTTGCGCCTTTGGGGCCTCAACAGCCGGGCCAAGCTGCCCCCTTTCCTCTGATCTGCTCCAGGCGAGCTGCTGCACCAGCTGCAGGTTAAAAGCCCGCCGCGTTTCCAACCGCTCTTTGCCAGCTTGCGTGTTCACCTCAAGATCCAGAACGAACAAAAGGGGGGAACCCTCCGAGTTTGGGCATTTATCCTCAATCTCAGTAACTGGCCCACCTTCCCACTGCTTGGTCAACAGCAGTGGCTGGCCCTGACAGCAGACACGGCAACACACAGCCCTCGAGCTTCTCCTTCCCCCGTGCTGGTCTCGCCTTGCACAGAAAGTCTCCACCACCGCTTGACCAAGCATCCACTGCAGCCACCCACAGAATCAAGCGGCAGCCGCAGGACGGCACCTCTGGCGTCCACGATCTGTTCCGCTGCCGCCTTCCGCAGCAAGCCAGCCTCGGCCTCCTCATGCCATTTCCTCCAAGCACTCACTGGGAAAACGGAAGTGGTGGGGCTGAGAAGCCCAGCGCCTCCTCCCCAGGCTTGCTCTGCATGAACTCTCCGGAGAGACATGACCAAACACTTCCAGCTCCATGTGCACCAGGGTTCTGCAGAACCAGGGGGTGCTGTGAAATGGGGGTCCCCTGCAGAGGGGGTTCCAATCCTAGGGGAGCATCCACAAGCAGAGAACCTTGCATGCACCACCAGCACTTTCCAAACTCGCCATCCATGCGTGAACGGGGGGAGCAAAGCGGGAGCCGCAGAGCGCAAGGTGGTCTCCTGCTGCTCCTTGATGCAAGAATCCGCTGGGAAGTGGGGGGTCCGGCTCTGCCCCCGCCTTCTCCTGGCCATCTCACCTTTCCACCTTGTCTCTGCTTCTTGCAGGGAAGGATGTTCAAACATGCCCACCCCCAGGTGGTACCGCCCAGGAGAAGCTTCGCCTCTTGAGCGAAGCAGCAAGTTAGGGGGGAGTGTCCGAGAGCCAACAATGGCTGGCTTGCCTGCGCAGCGGCTTCAGAGACCCAAACTATGCAAACCACAACGCTCAAATCACAGCCTGTGCACGTGAGCTTAAGCCTCACGCATCGCTCGGGTCAGCCAGAAGCCAGATCTTCGCTTTTAGGCCTCTTCTGAAAAACGGCATGTCTCTGTGTATGGATCAAAAGAGAAGGCCTGGGTGGCCATCCAAAAGCTAGTATAAGGTATAGAAAGGACAAAACACAACAGGCAGAAAGAAGAGAAAGCTCACGAACTGGATGCATCCGTAAAGAGCAAAGTTTGGAGCGGAAGTTTCTGTGCGAGGCTGTCAGGGCCACCCGCGGCACCCGGAACAGCTGCCGCACGCCTCAGGCTGGGCCTGGCACTTTTGCGCTGAGCTGCCTGCATGCTTCGGCGGGAGCTTTGCACAGATGGGCAGAAGGGGGAGCGAGGCCCTGGAGTGCCTATGCAAAAGCCACCCGCTTCTCCGCAGTCTATCATTGGCACCAGAGGAAAGGAGAGGAGCCGGCTGAGCAGGTCCCAACCGTTCGTCGCATGCGGACTCGTTCCGGAGGAAAGGAAATGCTCCAGCTAATGTCTGCCACCTCTTCTCAAGAGAGAGACTGCCTTCGTGTGAGAGAGGGAGCGAGGAAGAGACTGTGTCGGCTCTTGCAGCTGAGGACTGAATTACTCAACGCCTCTGAGCCACTGCTGCAGTTGCCTGAGCAGCAAAGATGAAAAGCGGTGGCAACTTCCCTTTGGGGACTGGGTGGGAGGGGAGTCGGGCGGCAGGAGCGAGGCTGCTATTCAGCATCAGCCCAGGGTGCCTGGGGAGGGGGAGGCCAGTCCTCCGGAACGCTTCGCGCTGCCCCTGCAGCCCCCCATCTGCCACACCCTGGCCAGCCCTGCGACACTCCAAAGACCTCTTGCAGAGACCAGAACTCACCCCTTCCCCAAAGTCTGATTCCAGCCATTTCCAAGTCGGCTTCAATCAGGAGGTTACTGTTAGCTCTGGAAGGGCAGGAGACCAGGAGGGTGGCCGGGAGCAGCGAAAGCTAGGCCATCTCCTTGCCCCCGTTTTTTCCTCCCCACAAGGAACTTTTTTCCTCCATGGGGTCCAAGGCATGCTTCCCCATATGTACTCTGGGCCTGGCACATTCCGGAGTGAGTGAGAGTGTGAGTGTGAGTGTGTATGTGGATTCTAGACTGGAACGGGAAGCCCATTTCTAAACATAACCAACGAGGTTAACAAAAGGAGCCACTCCCAGCTGCAGGATGGTCTTTGCAGGCAGTTGCCCAGCTGGCCTGGCTAAACACCATGCGAACACACCTGTGGAGACTGCTGGGCCAAGGGCACTGCTGGAGCGGCTTGGAGGCAGACTGCCCCTTGACCCAGGCACATGGGTGCAGCTGTCGGGCATTTCCTGACAGTGCTGGCTGCCTCTCCTTCCCACACAGCAAGCCCCGGGACTGGTGGTCGAGACAAGCACAGAAAGCAGTTCCGGCAAGAGGAGGAGCAAGGAGGTATTCCCAAAGCACAGCATCCGCCCAGGCTGCTAATTTTAGGGCTGGGTATTATGGACAGCAGTAACTCTGAGCGGGGGTCAAACACAACCGCACACTTCTCATTCCCACACGTGGGAAAAGAAGCAGCAGCAGCAGCAGCAGCAGCAGCAGCAGCAGCAGCAGCAGCAGCAGCAGCAGCAGCAGCAGGGAAAGGGCGAGGAGGAACCCTTCTGCCCAGCACACAGGTTTCTCTAGCTAAATAATGTTTTGGGGTAAAAAAATCTTATGTCCCACCAGCTGCTTTCTAAACTGGTGGAACCCCGCTAACGTCTAAAGGGTTCCAAAGTCCCCACCATGTTCTGTGGGAGCTAGACAGGCAGTATTGGGATGATGGCAGACAGAAACCCTGGAACCCTGGCCCAGGGGTACAGACATGCGCCTCATCTTGACCGCTTCAGGTTTCTGGAGAAGAGCGTTCCAAATCCGGTCTCCATGCATCTTTACACTGCTCGCTCTCTTCCACTCACATGAGGGATATTCGTCTTAAAAACAGTTCAGTAGGATTTGCAAAATAAAAAAATTGAATGCATTTATTTAAAAAACAGAACTTGCCTTTCCTTCTGTGCCCTTCCACACTTTCCCCGAGGGCCTTGATCTGCAACCCAGGTAAAAACCTGGCAAGTTCCATCTTCCGTCTGGAAGAGCAGTCCTCTCGGCTGCACTTTCTCCAGATCAACACCCCTCTGCTCACTTTCCTTCTGTGGTGAAAGCAACATGGCAGTGCCCCAGAGCATCCATGCACACCACCGCTTGTGTAGCTGGATCTGTGCAAATGCCCCCTGGCCCGGGCAGGAGCGCACTGCCGGACAATGGCGCAAAAGCAGCGGCCTTCATGGGAAGGTGGTCGGCCAGCCCTTCTCTCGCAGAAGCCCAGCTTGGGAAGTGGTTGACGCCCCCATCCTCTGCGTTCATTTTCGCAGTTGCCAAGCTGAGCCACGTGCAAGGAGTCCGGCCCTTCGATTTTCCTCGCAAAACCAGAGCCGACACGGGGGCCTGAATGGAAACCACCCCCAGCCTGGCTCTCTGCTTGTGGGAACGCAATGACTCCTGACCTGGGTTGCTCTGTGGCACGCAGGGGTGCGACAGGGAAGCACTGCCTACTTCACTGCACTCTGGGCACCGATTCGGCAGCCTGGAGAGCTCGCACAATCACCCCGCCAGGCGTGATGCCCAGAGAGAGCGCGGTGGTGGGACTCCGGTCGCTTCGGATCAGCACACCTGCTCTTTCACCTGGACCACAAAGCCCCCGCTCGGCACGCTTTTCTCACGATGCACCTTCTCCCCGACAAGAGAAAATCTTGGGGCGGAGAAGCCACCCCACACGGGAGGGATCGGTTACCTTCTAAAGCACTCATTCAGACGACTTCTTCTTCGCCACCATTCCTTCCAAGCTAAAAGCTCCCACTGGCTTGCTTGAAACACGGTCACACAGATACACAGTGCTTGTTTTAAAGTCCACAAACGCAGGCCCCTCATATGGAAAAGGAGAGACTGAGAGGCGTGAGGCTGGGATATTGTTCTGGGTGGGGCAAGCTGGAAGAGGACCTCCTGGCCAGGCGTGGGGAGGCTGGTGGGGTGGACGCGCCCTGCCGCACCTGGACGGCTCTGTGCCTAGGCGTCCTCTGGCCCCAGCAGTACACCCTTGTCGAGCAGGTGCGCCTTGAGCGTGTTGAAGATGCTCAGCTGCTGATCTGGCCGCAGAGTGAGCAGCTGCTGGATCAGCTTGCTCGGGTTGGGACCCCTTGCAGGAGGAAAGGCAGAAAACAGCCATGTCACATCCCCACACAATGCAACCGCAGCCAGAAAAGGCTTCCAGCAGCCCGCGCCCCGTTTCCTTTTGTTGCCCGGTCCGCTCTCCTCTTCAACACCACCCTCCTCTTAGCCAGGAGCGAGGAGCCGTTCTGCCTTGGGATGGACAACATCCTTCTGTTCCAGGCAGCTGGGGGGCTGGAAGCCCTCCACGAAGCCTCTCCTGCCCCCCTCTTCTCCTCTCTGCAGGGGAAGATCGCATCCTGGAACGGCAGAGCTGGGAGGGGCCGGGAAGGCCATCGAGCCCAGCCCCCTGCTGCCACACGGCACCCCCTTGGCGGCGATCTCAGCCTGCGGCGCACACGGCTCGTGCCCAAGCTGGGACCCAGGCAGCGTGTGAGGCAGGGAACCCCCAGTCCTCTCTGGCTGGGGATGAGGAAGGGGCTCCAGCCTAAGGCTCGACAATGCGCCTGGACCGGACCGGAGCACTACCTGATGAAGCTGGCGATGTAGACGTTCACAAAGGTGGCCATCAGGTACTGGCAGTCGAAGCGGTCCATGATGCCCCCGTGCCCCGGGATGGTGCTGGCGAAGTCCTGCAGCGGTGAGGGGAGAAAGGCCACTTTTCTGAGGCTGGGGGAGGGGACACCTGTCTATTGACTTCACGCTGCAGAGGACCTCCAGTCCCCTCCCCTTTTCTGCCCCCTGAAGCAGAAAGTTACTTTCTTGTTGCCCGGGAAGTAACTGCACTGCCCTGGGTAGAATTCTGCAGTGGATGGGGCTGGGGGGGCAACTGCTGGCTCAGACTTGTGCTAGCCTGAGCAGGACGCGCCCCCGTCATTCACCCCCACCCCAGCACTCACTGGCTCGCCCTTCCCCTTGGCAGGATTTAGCCGCCCGCATTACATCTCCAGTATTCCTTTTCCACGTATTCTTTCCTAGTGCACGGCTTAAAAATGATCTGTTTTAAAACTCAGGGTGTAAAACCTCAGACCAAAAAACTTCAGGCCAAGGGGGAAGTCCCACTCTCTGAAATTCCCCGGGGGGTCTCACTCACTTCCCCCCAGCCCTAACCACTAACTGCTTACTGGCTTCCCCATTTCTGTGCAGCCTTCCCCCCCGCCAAATTCAAACACACTGAAATTCTAGGGTTAGTGGTGGTAGAAGCTTCATGCTAAAATACGTTTTAATTTTTGGTGATATGCACTTGCCAGTTTTGCTTTTACCCCCAACCAGAGCGTGCCTGGCAGCTTTTCTGAATCAAGCAGCCCATCCCACACACTGAATTGCGCATTAAGCATCCCAGCGCCTGCCGCCCAAGAGAGAAACATGGCCAATCGCCCGCACGGCAGCCATCACCAAGATGCCCAGCAGCGTACCTTGATTTTGAAGGCCCTTTTGAATCCACTGGCAAAGAATCCTCCAAAGGGCCCGATAAGGGATGCGAAAGTGGAAAGCGCAGTGCTGTGGATCTGGAAGGGGTACATCCGGATGGTCTTCTGGAGAGAGCGGGAGGAGAGATTCTCGGCTTTAGAAGCTGCGGGACACATGGCATGGTGCAGTGGCACAGTAATGAGGAGAACAGCTACTCACTATTAAGTCGTTTCTCTGGGCTGGGCCACTCTGGGCGGCATGTGGGAAAAATACTCTGCACATGCCCAGGGGCTGTCTTTGGCAGGGAAGAGTCAAACAAGCAACCCGCACCGGAACAGCCAGGGCAAGCTTTGCCTCCTGACAGCTGTGTGGCTCCTTGTTTCTGTTCGCACCCACCGTGTGAGGGACGGGCCCAGCTTATTACCTGCCCTCTCTGCACCCCACTTTTTCTCCCAAGGAGACAGGTGCGATCCTCCTCTTTTCCATTTTTTCTCCTAATCCCCCTGTGAGTCAGGGACCGGCCCAAAGTCACCCAGCTGAGCATCATGGCTAAATGGGAACTCCCACCCAGGTCTCCCAGTCCCTCACCATAACCACTACCCCACACAGCCCCCCTCAGAGAAATCCGGGATTTCTGCATCCCGGCCATCCTGGCCAGAGGAATAAAGTGCTGCTCAACCCAGCCACACTGCACGCCCTCCCTTGAGGCAAGTAAATGCAGCCCGCAGTCCCTCCCCGTCCCTCCCCGTGGCCGCCGCCATCCAGGCAACTGCACTACAGCCTGTGACCACGGCGCACTTCCGCGTGGGCCAGGGCCGCCCAAGTCGGCGCCCGGATCCAGATGCCTACCCAGCTGAGGACCGACTGCAGCACGGGAGGGACGCTGTACTCCTGCAGCTGGAACAGTTCGCTGGGCTCGCAGTCCACGGTGAAGCGGTTGGTGTCGTTGTTGAACTCCACGGGGCACACGAAGTACGTGCAGCCGGACATCGCGTAGGAGAGCTGCGTGGTGGCGGAAGAGCCGCGGGTGAGGCGCCGCAGGACGGCAAGGGGGCTGGGGAGCCGCGGGGGACGGCGCTACCGTGACCGAGGCTTTCCTGCTGCAAGTGGGCTTGCCCGGGAGATCCGCGGCCAAGCCCCGTGATAGCAGCTCCTTCCGCGATTCTGGAGCGGGACTGGCAAGGGGCTTCGCCGATGCTTGTGGGGACGGGGCCCCAAGCACAGACCCCTGGCAGCGCTCAGCCATTCCCCCAAGCGACTCCCGCTCTGCTCGAGGCGTGGCGGCCGCTGCCGGTACCAGCCTTGCCGTGGGCCGGCTGGGCACTCACCACCAGGCCGAAAAGGACGGTGGCGAAGAATCCTCCGATGAAGCCCTCCCAGGTCTTCTTTGGAGAAAGCTGCTGGCACAGAGGTGGGCAAGGCTGTTAAGCGAGGTGCTGGGGGGACGTGGGGCGGCCCTCCCAGGCCCCAGAAGTGGAGCAGGAAGGTGGGGCAGAAGCGGGTGGCCTCTGAGGCGCCTCCTGAGCCAAGCCGTCCCCAGGGCGATCCCGAGGCAGGAACCAACCTTAATGAGCGGGGTGCGTCCGAAGAAGAACCCAAACATGTAGGCCATGATGTCGTTGCAGATGACGCAGGAGATTGGGACGATAAACCTAGAGGGCACCGGGGCGGGGGTTAAAAAGCACTCACAGGAGCTGTCTTTATTTAGAAAGAGAAACACAGCAGCCCAACATTCCCCAACCTGAATGCATGGGACTGCAACTCCCATTGCCCCGTTGGCTGGGGATGATGGGAATTTTGTTAGATGCCTATCTGAGCTTTCTTCCTCTTGCTATTCTGGTTATTGGCCAGAAGAGGGAGCCCTGGTGCTGCCTCAGCACCTCAAAGAACCCAAGGCAGCTTACCCAGCTCCATTTTGTTCTCACAACAGCCACCCTGCGAGGTAGGTTAGGTCAGGAGGCAGGGAATGGCCCAGTCAGCCAGTTAACTCTGTGGCAGAGAAGGGACTCGAACCTGGATCTCCCAAGCCCCAATCCAAGACTCTAACCACTACACCACACCACCTCACTGCAAGAGGAGCTGCAGACCAATGCACCTGGAGGCCACCAGGCTGGGGAAAGCGGCTCCTGATTACAAGGCCTGCAACGTGATACCCAGCAGCCGCAACGGCCGCCTCGGAGCAGCTCACCAGCACTGAGCTCATTCCAAGCCGCAGCTCTGATCCCCGGACCGTGCCCCTTGCTCCAAAATACATGAGGAGACCCCCAGACTTCTGTTCTAATTTTGCTTTTAGGTTTTTTCTTTTTAAACAACAAGTCAACCCAGACAAAGCCAAGCCAGAATGGCATTTGAACCAGCCATGACAGGTTTATTCGCGTAAATGGATCAAAAACCACAGATAAAGCTGCATGGGAAGGATTTTTTGCCCCAAGTACTTCCGGACTGTCGGGGTCAATGCTGCCAGAGCTGAATTCAAGGTCAAGGGGAACACGCTTGCGCAACAAGAGAGTCTCTTTATGTTTTGTGCACTCTGGTGTTCAAAGACTGGGAATTTGCTGAAAGTGTCCCAGTAAGGCAAACACTGAGGAAAAGCCTTCACTAGTCCCAGAGGGGAAGTACAGGAGAATTCTGGCTGCGGTGGCAGCGGAAGGGGCATCTTGGGGGGACCCTACTTAATTTGCTCAGGGCCCATGAAAGGCTGACGTCTGGGGAGACCCTTCTGCAGAAATGTTTGCTCTGCAGAAGCACGAAGAGGGGACCTTCCCCCACCCAAACACCGGCTCCAGAGGAGGAATCTCGTGCAAGACGGCAGCAGCGTGACATTCCGCACGCCCCACAGGCTACGCCAAAAGCCAGTAATTAGCATCTCTGCCTTAACTGCATCTTTCGACACTTGCACCTTAAACGCAACCATTCGATAAACCCATGCAGGTGGATACTGGCTGCCTCCTCCTGGGCCTTCAGGCCGCCACTCTGCTTCGGCCACCCTCCAGCCTTGCGTCCTACACATGGCAGTGGCAACAGAGTTCCTGATAAAGGCCAGAAGGCCTGGAACTCTTATACCAGGTGTGGCAGGCAGAAATTCAGCAGGTGCAGTTTTACCTACAGCATCTGGAGGTGGAAGCAGCACCTGTAGACAGGTGCTTCTGTGATGGCTAGAAGTTGAGCAGGTACAGTTCCCAGCTCCAAATGCTGGGGAGGACTCCACCTACTGAGTTTCTGCCTGTCATTCAGTCTCAGACACACAGTTCCATGAACGGTGGAAGAAAACCACCACCCAGAAGCAAATGCTGGCAAGTGCTGACTCCCTGCACATGTGCTAAATGAAGATAAACATCTTTATTTTCAAGGTGTTTTCTGCCCAGCTGGCAACCATTGTCTGTCTCCTCCCTTCTGCAGAGAGTTGTTTATTTAAAAAATGGGGGAGAAAAAGATGTATTTAGAAACCGGAAGACTCTGTCTATATTATTTGTAGTATAATTAGAAATATGGATTCCTCAGTGACCAACTTCTCTCTTGTTGTAGGATCTACCCACACTTTCCGGCACTCATATTCTGCAGGAGCACGGACAAGTATTGGGCCTGGGGTGCTTTGCACCAGGCTCCCACACAATGTCATTACATACTCTTTGTTCCTTCCGCATTCTGCATAATCGCTGCTATTTTTAGCCAGATCTCTGCAGGAAATGTTACTCTTCCGGCCTCAAAGGAGCACTTGGGATGGCCCAGCAGGCAGCCTGGCCTGTTGCATGTTTTGGGTTTTTTTGGGGGGAGGGGGGGCTAAACTGAATGTTCAGCCTTGAATTCAGCAGTGGATACGGATCCCAGTGGCTCCTGCAGCTGGGCGTGCACTCAATGGATTTACCTGGAAAAAGCCAGTGCATCCCAGAACCGTTGGCTGAACTACTGGCATTCTCGTACGAACACCTATAATGTAATGACTTTGAGCACATTAAAAAAGCAGCCAGGACAGGCTAATCCCTGCTTAAACGCCAAACCGTTGTCATCCGGATTGTATGACAATCAAGGGCACTCCTAGAGAGGGTGCTCAAGTCACCTCTAAGCCTCTTCAGGCTGGAGGCGCGGGGAAGGCAGCAAGGAGCGAAGGGGCTGGCCATGCAGAAGAGTGCCAGAGCAGGTTTACGCGAAGCTGGCCGCACCAGAGCCTCCAGCGAGACGTGGCCAAGGGGTCTGTTCCTCGAGGGGCAAGGCTGGTCTGATGCCCTGTGTGCCTGCCTGCCCCTTGAGACCGCAGGCAGGGGCCCTTCTCCGGGAGTCCTCTTGGAAGGTGGCTACTCGGAGAAGGGCCGTTCAGGCGGTGGCACCCCGACTGCGGAACACACGCCCCAGGGTCTCACCTGGCGCTGGCACTTTACTCTTTTCGGCATCAAGAAAAGACCCTTTTATTTTCCCACTATTTTAACAGTCAATCAGGTTTATCCTTGATATTATCATCATTTATTGGATGCACTGTGTTGTGTGTTGTTTGTTGTATACGGTTGCTTTGTTTTTTTGTTTTTTATAAGCTGTCCAGAGACTTTTAGTATTGGGATGGCATATCAAAACTTTAAATAAATAAGTAAGGTTCCTCGCGCGGCCGCCACCACCTGTTCCATTAAAGCCACGCACCCAGAAGCCGCAGCAGTGCCTAGGGAAGGCTTGTGCTTTGGCAAAGCTCCTCCTCCTGCTCCCAAGCCAGGAATCGCTCCGGGGGGAACATGCCCTCGACACACACCAAGGATGCGAAGCGGCCTCCCCCACCCCCCGATTCACGCCCCCAGTAAGAGCACCTGGCTGCTGCTCCGTGCAAACGGCCCCGCCGCCCGGGCACCCCCATCCTCAAGCCCTCCACGGAGGCCACCCCACGCGGCCCACGCCCCGAGCAGCTCCGACTCACCAGATCATTCCTTCAAAGAGGTTGTGAATGATGAGGTGCGACTGGGTGACAACGATCAGCAAAGTCACATGGGTCCAGCCGAACTGGGAAGAGAGAACGCGCAGGCCACTTGGCGGGGAAAACATTTCTCCAACACAAGCCGAAGGGCCAAGTGGCGAGAACGGCAGAGGGGGAGGAGTGGGCGCATGCTGGGCAACCGGGCACCCCGCGTCCCACGGGGCAGGCACAGGGCTAGCAAAACCTTGGACTCACGTGACCCCTTCCCCACCCCAGAGATCTGGTGGCCCGCCTTCTGCGCCTCTGACTCTGCCAGCTATCAGCGTTGCAAGACAAGGCTGGTCCCTCTCTAACCCAGCAGCGGGGAACCTGCAGCATGCTGGACACTGCTGGACTCCAACTCCCATCAGCCCCACCTAACAGCTGAGCAGGGATGGTGGGAGCTGGAGGTTGTGGGTGCCTCACTCCTGCACTAGAAGATTTGGAGACGGGATACTGGAAAAATGGGCTAAAGCTCCCAAAGGCTACCCAGCCCTTTAGATGAGGTATGGAAGATGGGCTCTTGGGCTGGCCAGGAAGGTCCAAGAAGCCAGGAGGCACGAGAGGTGGGGTCTTCCCGTGACGTCCCTTCCACTGTGCAGTGCCTCCCACAGGCAGGGCAGCTGGCCCTCTTCCGCCTCCATTCAGCCAGGCTCCAAGACCCCGACTCGCAACAAAGGTGGCCCGCGCAATTCAGCTCCCCTTTAGGGCAGCTGTATAACCCCTGCCACTGGGACAGCCATGTGCAGGTCCCTACCGGGGGGCTCTGCATCGGGCCTGCCAGCTGCCTTATGCGCGTGTTTTGTGGGAAGCTTCCCGGAAGGCGGCTGCTCTGTCCCCAACGGCATCACCACATCCAAACCAAGAAAGCCACTCTGGAGAGCACAGCTTGCCAGGGAGGTTCTTTGTGACTCCCTGGCTGGCCCAGTGCGTTGCATTTCGTTCACACGGGACGTCAGTATTTCTGGGACTTCACGCGTCGTAGCCTCATCTATTCAGACAACTTTCCACCCTGCCCGCACCAGCAAACCCAAAGGCTTTTCCAGCGCTGGGACAGGGAGAGTGAGCACGCTGGTCCAGTCATCCTGCCTGGCTCTTCCTTACTGGGTGAGCAGCTAATCCAGGCTAAGATGCTTCGTCCACACTTGATGAGTGCCGTGTTCCAACCAGACGCGGCTCGTCTTTCCCCAGCAAACCAAAGCCACAAACTAAGGCTGGCTCCTGCAGCACAACCTGGCTTGTTCGGGACGTGAAAGGCCAGAACGTCTGGCATGGACAGGCAGGAACGGAAATGCCGGCAGGTTTCACTGCTTCATGCCGGCAGGATCGCTCATGGCAATCGAACGCTGGAAAGCTTCTCTTGGTTGCCATTATGTGCAAACGCACCATAGAGTCCAGAACTGTCCCGGAAGCTCCCGCACAAAAGGAAGTGGGGATTTCAATGAAATCGGACAGCATCAAAGACACCTGAAGCATCTCTGCTCTGCCAGAGTTTGGGCTTCCCACTTCCACATGCCTTCAGCCGTAAGCAAGCTCAAAGGACATCAAGGGAGACTTTAAGCTTGTGCTTCTTCTAAACCAAGATGCGTGTGCCCTGTTAATGTCCATCTCTCCCTCTCCCCCCGCCCTGCTTCCACGAACAATGAACTCTGAAAGAAGAAAATCCATTTAGTTGATCTTACCATGTAGAACTGGAGCCGATAATGCTTTTTCACCAGACTCAAAACAAACATGCAAAAGCCTGCGGAGGGAGAGATGCGGTTGGAGGGGAATGCAGTAACAGGGGCACCCCTTTCCTCCCCGTCTCACACACCCGTATTTCGTGCAGCCCCGAGACCTACTGGGCAGGATGATGGCCGTGGCCCTTCTCCTCACCGTGTTCCTTATACTGCCAAAGTCAGTACTGCAGGAGAAGGATCTTCCCTCCAAGGCATTGTCAAAATAAATGCTCTGGCTACCCTCGAGGGAGGGGCAGGAAGCGAGTTCTTGGGGTCCTGTATTTTGTCAGCCTCACCCAGCAGAAACGGCGGGCAGAGGGGTGCGGTGCGTAGGCAAAGTTCAGGCTTTGCAAGGGAGGCAAAGGAATTCACGGAGGAGAAGAAAAGGTGCAGCGGGCGATGGTCAGGAGGCAGAACACAGAAGGCCGGTTCTCAACTGGGTTCTGTCCTGCCCCATCAAGGCTCAAGAGTGGATTGCCGATGCCAGAACAACATCTGTAAATCCCCGCAGGGTGGAAGGGGCAAGGGCCTCTTTTCCGTCGGAGTGGGCGACTTTATGGAACACCTTCCGACATCAGGAAAGCGTCCAGCCCTTCCCTGCACTCAGGGACCCACGGCCCTGATGCCACCACCCCTCCCGGCTGCACCACATCCCTGGGCAGGAAGGCCGCGATCCACCCAGGGATGGCCAGCACTTCGCTACCTGCAGACTGGGGATACGGGGACCCAGGCTTTCCACTCAGCCATCTATGACATGCCTGCATCACCCAGCTGCCACAGCTCGCCGGGCAGGAAGAGGGGCCCGGCTGGGGTGCCACCTTGCACGTGCCAAATCCGTGCCCACCGGCCTCTCCATAAGAAAACGAGGACCCTGGGCACCCTGAGGGAGGGTGGCCACTCCAGCCCCTGGCCAGGGCCGCTGTCTGGATTCCGGCGCGAGCTGAACTCTGCCACACCTTCCCGGCTTTCACACCCAAGCCCATTCCGCTTCTTTAGCGTCGTCCCAGGAGCCGTCATTGCAGTACTATCCATCTGCCAGCACGAGGCTCAGCTATTTTTTAACTTTCCCAATTTTTTAAGAGTTAATTGGGTTTTATCCTTGTTTTAATCACTAGTTATCGGATGCAGCGTTGTTGTTATGGTTTGCTTTGTTTTTCGTTTTTCTATAAGCCACCCAGAGACTTTTAGTATTGGGACGGCATATAAAAACTTCAAATAAATACTTAAAATAATTAATAAATAAAGCTAAAATTCTACAAGGCCTCCTCCAATTGGGAGGACACGAAAACACGGTCCCCAAGGAGAGAAGGGCCCATTCCTCTGGGGCCTCTGAGAATTTAAGAATATGGTCCTCCGGGAATCCCAAGGCTGGCCATCCCGGAATAAGGGAACACCGGCTCGCTTACCTGTTAGGTAGAGTGCAAAGGAAATGAAGCGGTGGTATTTGCTGAGAATTCTCAGAGGCTCCTCCCTCTGGACCAGAGTGAAGAAATAGTCGGTCACTGTCTCGCCGTAGAAGAAGTAGTTCACACAGAGCAGGAAATACCTAGAAAGAGAGGAGATGGCACACCCGACCCGGCAGTGAGTGCTGGCCGGGCTGGGCATACGCCAGCTCCCCATTTCTTCCGGCTTGACCACCAGTTCCCACGGATCCTTTGCTCCTTCCAGCTCATGCATGGAAAGGTGGAAACCGGAGGGCACCTACTGCCAGCAACGCTCCTCTTGGAACTCGAGCCTCAAGCGGTCCGTGGGAAGCAGCCGCTGCTGATGGGAGAGCAGCCCCAGCATCCGGAGGGCCCACCCTGGCACAGAGAATGGCCAAAGAGAACTCCTGGGGCAGCCCACGAAGGGCTGCACTGCCCCCGACTACACGCCACGGGTGACCTGTTTTCACAATGGCGGGGCATAAAGGCGGGAGAAGGCACAGCTCTGAGCTTGGCGTGGCACGAACCTCGCCTCTGGCACAACGCACCCCCTCGGGGGGAGCTCCTGGGCCTCCTCCCACCGCTCTGCAGGCGCGCGCACTGTCCGACTCACCAGCTGAGCGTTCTGAACCAGGGGAGGTCGTAGGAGTGATAAACGTTGTAGCCGATGGTGATGATCTCCTGGAAGCACTTGATCTGGACACACATCACCTGCAAGGCACAGCAGGGGAGTGGGGGGGTCGCACGATCCCCAGCCCAATTCCCGGAAGAACCCGCAGTGCATTGAAGGGTGTGCCGCTTCCACGCCAGCCCCTTGGCTGCCCTCTGCGCAGTCACGGTGAAGACAGACACAGGGCGCGGAAGGAAAGCGCACCATTCCCGTGCATGGGGGCACCTTGGCGGGGGGGGGGTCCCCAGCAGAGCTGAGGGTCAACCCATCCTTAGCCAGGCCCTCATGGAGAATCACCCCGTCTCCCACAGCGAGAAGAAGCTGTCCTTGCCTTCCCACATCTATCAGCTCCGGCTCCGCAGTGGATGGAGGGGAAGGGCTCTTCTGGTGCCCTGGGGATGGGATGCAGAGCCTCCCCGGCACCATCCCTGGAGGGAAGCAGAGCCCAGCGCCGGCTCACGCAGGCCAGATCGCCGGCTGGGCGGGGGGGGGAGCTGCCCCCGCACAGCAGAGTGGCAGGCCAGGCCAGGCGTCCTGAAAGGCTTCCTCGGCCGCTCCTCCTGCGCCAGGGTCCCGGGTGGGCCACCGGGAGACTGAGGGAAAGGGAGGCGGTGCAGACAGCAGGAGGAAACCAGAGGCTGAACGCCCCTTCCGAAGCGAGCTGAATACAGAGCTCCACCTGGCACGCAGGCCTTCCTGGGGTGCCTGAAACCAAAATGCCCCCTCTCAGCCTGTGAGGTGCTCCGAGGGGGCATTCCTTCCGGTTCTGCAGCCCAGGCCCCGACCGGCCTCTTGGGCAAGCCGCATCCTGAATCGTGGCTGGAAACAGACTTGGCGCAGGTGAGCTGTTAGGAAGCCTGGTAGCTGCGTTAGTCAGAATCCCAGTTGGAATGCCAGGAGCTGCCGTCTGGCCACCCTCAAAGAATCTCAGGTATTTGGGGTGGGGGGGAGCAGAAGTTATCCAAGCAAAGATCTGCAGCACTGTTCACATCGTTCATGGTGGAGAAATCGGCAATGGGTTCCAATGCACTGGAATTTCTGGGAATTCGGTCTGCAGATTCTACAGTGGCTGAGCTCTTTGGAGTAGCACCGATTCTGCAAACTTGCAAGCTGCTTACCACGTGTGGGGGCAACGCACATATGCGTTTGCGCTAAGATGCATTAATGTAAGTGCGCATTTGCAAATGGGAACACGATTCCCATACATCCTTAAAAGGAAGCATCTGATTCTGCCTGCCAGGCAAAACCAACCAGCAATCTGCAAAATACAGAAGGACTTGATATCCTTCCGGGTAAAGGGATCTCCATCCCAGACAGGTTGCAGCCTGAACTGCTGAAAGGCGCTCCTTGCTCCGGAGATGCCGGAAGGGGCTGGCTGGGATGAGCTGGCATGGGAGCCATTGGGGGCTCTCCCTGGGGGCAGCTCTGGGGACAGTCACTGTGGGGGCCGCCCTGCAGGAGAAACGTACAATCATCATGAGCACCATGGGTCCCAAGTAGATGATGATGAAGAAGAAGAAGATCATTGCCAGGGTCAGGATGCCTCTCACCCACCAGTTTTTCCACCTGCATTAGAAAGGGGAGAGAGTCAAGAAGGGGACAAGGTGGTCCAGTGCCCCCCCTCGGCAGAATCAAGCCCCCCCAATCCAAGCACCTCCGCCTTTCCAGCCAAACACGAGTGGAACACTGGGCCACCCCCAGAACAAAGCTTGCCAGACCGTGTGTGCCAAAGAACTGACGGGCTTCAATAACTCAGTGGGTTGAATAATTGAAGGGTGCTCTGAATCCAAAGCATCGGCCGCAGCACTGCGCCCGCGCCCGGCCCGGCCCAGCCCCAGCTACTCGGCTTTGGGTGCGAGGGGGGAATCTGCTGGCCCCTGTGGACAGTCCCTGCTCCACAGCAGAGTTACAAGCTGCAAATGAGAGGCCGAGGCGAAACGCTCTGTCTGAGTCATCACGTACGCAGCAAACGGCACAGAGTTTAACCCAGAAGGCAAAACAAGGCCAAAAAGCCTTACGGCTGGCGATGGGTGGAATCCAACCCCACAGTGTGGGCCAGAAAAAACAGGGGGAGCCGGCTGTGTTGCAACCAGTGTTGTGGCCACGCATGTGGGGTTGTGGCTGCTTCTTGGAAGCAGATGGCTCATCCCCCCGGGGGTCTGTTTGAGAAAGTCACACCCTAAGCCCTGTGAGAGAAATGAAGGCCTGCAGACCTTCCAGCTGCAAATCCTTCGGGGACCGCAGCAGATACAGCTTTGAGATGGGCTGTCCCAGAAACACATCATGCTCATGCTATATATAAACAATTTTAAGCACACCTCCTAATGAAAACCAAAATGAAGGGCATTAAAATGCCAGGCAGCTGACCCAGGGATGGATGGAAGGCAGATACGGCTCTGCCCGCAGAAGTCCGGGGAAGCTGCTGAGGGGCAGAATGTGGCTTATTGTTTGTTTATTTATTTAAAACGTTTCTGGACTGTCCCTTATCAAAGTCTTGGGGCGGTTTAACCATACAAAATGTAAAATAAAACACAGCACCCTAATACAATTTCCAACCAGCAATAAAACCCCAATTAAAACAATGAAGTCTTAAAACATTGGGCAAATAAAAAGGCTTTAGCCTGGAACCAAAAAGAATGAAGTGACGGCGCCAGGCGAACCTCTCTGGGGAGCGCATTCCACAATTGGGGCACCGCCACAGAGAAGGCCCTTCTCTGGGAAGCCATCCTCCTAATCGCCTTCAGGGAGGGCTCCCGGAGAAGGGCCTCTGCCCCAGATCGCAAGGGGTGGGCGGCACGTGTGGAAGGAGGCGCTCCGTTGGGCAACCAGGCCCGGAGCTGTTGATCCCCCAAGGCAAATGTCTAAGGCTGGCCTGGCCTGGTGAGACTGGGCAGGGGCCCAAGCATCCCTGTGCGGTGGCCCCATCCTGCCATCTCCAAGCCACCCAGGTAGGATACCTGGAGCCAAAAGCAAGGAACCCGGGCACCCGCAACCCTGCCACCCCCGGTTTGGTGCCTGCAAGCAGATGGGGGCGGACAGCTTCTGCCTCTCCCCTGGCCTGCGGCTCGCCCGATCCCTCAGCGGGTTCAGGCTGATGGGAGTCGCAGCCCGAAGCCTCCGGAGAGCAAGCAGCGGAGCATCTCTGGATTACCGTTCCCCAAGAGGAGGAAGGAAGGCTGGAGAGCCCCTTGCCCGGCACAGATGCTACCTGGAGGACAGGTTGGAGAGCGCCCGGTTGAGCACCTCTGGAGTGTCGTCGGCCGGGGCTGCCTGGGCCACCTCCGACTTGCACTCGCTGTCAGATGCGGTTTCTCCATCCAGCTTGCTTTCCAGTTCAGATTCCTGCATGGCGAGAGGGAAAGGCATGTACTGCAAACCCATGGCAGGGCGGAATCTGCTTTAGCCTCGCCCTCCAAGGTGAGGAGAGTAAAGGAAGTGAGGAGAATTACTCCAGTTTCACCCAGGAGGCAGGAAGGAGAGAGGCAGGGAGGCGCCTGCCCATCCCTCCATCAATCCTAAGTGCAGGGAGAGGAGCAGTAACGTTTTTTCCTGCCCTGGGGCAAAGCCAAAGGGGAGAGAGCGGTGGGTCGCCATTGACGTGGCACATTTCTGGACTCCATTACTTAAATGCATTCACAGTGCACAGCTGGCCAAGCAGAGATTCATCGCGATAATGGAAACAGTCGTAGAGCTTTTAAAAGGCAGCAAGAGTGCCAGCATGCAAGCGCTCAACCCATTTAAGACAAGGCGCAGTATTCCTTGGCATCTCAAATGCAAGAGGAGAGGCCAGCAGATGGAGCTTGCAAAGGGCAGCTGAGAGCCAGGGCCGCATTCTCGGCCGTTTCCATTGTCTTAGTGCCGGAGGAGCCGCCGCTCGCTTCCTAAGGTGAGCTGACAGTGGAAAGGAGACGCTGTGCTGGACACAAGTCACTCCTGGCCCACATCCCTGGCTCACATCCCGGGACCTAGCAGGCTGCAGCCCGCCTTCCCCACGCCTGCCCAGTCCCCACGGCAGCGGGTCTGGCTGGTGCTTGGCCACTTGTTCAGCACCTTTAAAGGCACCCAACGTGGCACGTGGCACAGTAGGAAACGGGTCCCGTTCATGCTGCAAGAGCGAGGGGGAAAGGAAGCAGCTCAGTCGTCACAACTTCTGAAGAACTGAAAGCAAGAAACACCGGATGGGAGGTTCGCACAGCACTCCCTCCCTCCAGCAACCTGCCTGTATGGTTCCTGCCACGCTGAAACATGCCCAGCGGGACAGAGACTGAGCAGGGAGGGGCCAGGCAGGGGTGAGATCGGCAAGGGGATCCCCCAGGGGAGCAGGCCTGCCTTCTCCCGCCATTCTCCTCCTTGCGGACACACCTGCCTGGACACCCCGCCTGGATGTTTTTTTTTAACCCGGGATCGCAGCACAGACAGACCGACCCCGCGGGGATGGGAGCAGCTCCATGCAGGCTGTGTGAACCCAAAATGAAGCGCCCCAGGTTGTCCAGAACAGGAGCCCTCAGGTAGACTGCACTGGCCTTTGGGTGCTTGACGGAACAGCCAGTGCGGCCTGTTTCTTGAAGACGACACTGCAGAACACCATTCTCCCATCTGCCCATCCCCTCGGCCAACCTCTCCCTCCCAGAGCACCCCAATCTCCGCACTTTGCTCCCAGAATGTTCTGCCCAGCCTGGCCCACCTTATGCAGAACACAGCTCTGCTTCAGCACAGACGACTGCGCAGAGGAAGTGGGCGGCTGGGGAAGGACCAGGAAGGCAAGCCAAGCTTCCTCGTGGAAGAGGCAAGGAATGACAGGCAAAGCTACATACACCAAGGGTGGATCCATGATGCCCCGGCTTTTTCAGCCCAGCGACCGTTCCCTTTTAAATCGCCCCCTCCACTGAAAACATGGGGGAGGCAGAGGCGGGGAGCTGGTTTGAGTCCTTTGGGGCAAAACAGATAGCTTTGGATGGGGCAGGTGCAAAGCGGGCCGAGTCCCCACCGCTGGGCATCCTGGTGTGCTCCCTGCAGCCCAGAGTTCCACTGGTGGAGCTTCCCACGAACGCAAGAGGGTCCCTTGCAACAGCAGCCCTTCCACCCTGCATCCATGGCATTCCGTTCTGCCCATGGAGTGGTCCCTCCGCCATAGCTGAACCCTTCCAGCCAGGCGCTTTTTGCCAATTAGGAGGCAGCGCAAATTAACTCATCAATTGGCGCAAATTAACTTGCTCACAGTGGTTTAGGAGGTCAGTGCAAATTACAGTGCATGGTAAATTTGGAAGCATTTACTGTGTGTCTGTGTCTACACATGTCCCCAAGTGACTGCTCTGAGAATGTTACTGGGGTCAGGGCAGAAACCCCTAAAATGAAATAAAATGCATTAATCAAGGTGGACGGGCTGAGAGCTTCAAGCCAGCAAGATGCTGAGTGGACATACTGGTGCCACAGGAGGGGGGAGTTCGAACCAAAAGGAGGTAAGAGGGTCCCACACACCTTCTGGGTGGATTCGTGGGCTTGAAAGGGTGTCGTGAATTACACGGGGGTCTGCTCAGTGCAGGGACCGACAGCGCAGAGAAAGCGAAGGGGCAGCCTTTCCATCTCCTACACTATCCCTCCGCAAATTGCTGCTTTACCCACACAACTGTGCTCTGGTCCAACCAGGAGGTTTCTATGGCAACCACCGCCTGCTCTCACATATCCAGGGATGCACAGGGCTTCCGTTGCTCCTGGCAATTCTTACACAACTGGCTTTGTACGTAAACAGTGTCTAGAACCCAAGCAGGGGAGGGGAGGGGAGGG